ATTGTCCTTTCACAAACAAGCGGGAAAAGAATTCGAAGATTAACTAAGTGGGAAATGAAGAGAGAGAAAGAGGGAAAGGAGAATTGAAGGCGGCGTAGCGACTTACGGAGGGAACCTCCCTACCCAGCCTGGCAACTTTCCTCCCCGTCATTCGATTCCTCTAAGATCATCTTCCCCCACACACCACATTTACTATCTTAATCATGTCACAAGCTCGCCTACCACCACCTCCCCCACCGCAATGGGTTGTTTCGTTGAACTCCCCGATGCCTCGCCCCTCAAAGGCCGCGTCTAGCATCCCGGACCCGCCAGGCTTCTCGAGCAGTCGGGGAGGCAAGCAGGTGAGCTCCACCCACAACTCATAATACTATGGAAGCGAACATACTAATATGGTACTTTCAGCGCCAGCAACAGCAACAACAAGCTCCCACGAAGAGACCCGAGGAGACCGATGCGCTTAAGATGAAGAAAGCGTGGGAGATCGCCATCGCCCCATCCAAGCAGATCCCAATGAATGCCATTATGATGTACATGTCCGGCAACAGTCTTCAGATTTTCAGCATTATGATGGTCCTTATGTTGTTTAAGGGTCCCATCCAGGGTCTGATAGGTACCAATGCGGCATTCGCCAAGTACGAAACCCCGTCGACACATTCGCGTCTGCTTGGAGTGAAGGTGGTCTACATGTTGATGCAGCTGGTATTACTGTGTCTGGGTATCTGGAAGGTTAATGCGATGGGCCTATTGCCGTAAGTCTTGCCCTGCAGCTTTGGCAACACCTATTTTGCTAACTTATGCCCAGAACTACGAGATCGGATTGGCTAGCATGGGAGTCGGAACGGCAGCCTTTGGAGCGGGCTCATTTTGCTTTCAGGTGATGCTATAGGCTTGGAGTATGGGTTAAATGTTTGAAAGAGGCTATTGGAATGCATCCATGGACGATAATGCGATGTGGAACAGCTTATCATGGCAGTGATCATGTGGCTCCTTTGCCTTCTTGCATTATTGATTGAAGAGTTCTATAATCATGCGTTTCTTGGGCGCAAGTTTCTAAAATGGTATCGACAGTGAAAATGTAGTTCGGGGGGCGGAGCAATAACCCCATAGTCACTTCTGACTTGAAGCATCCCATCCCCAGTGTTCTTAGCTTCCTCTTTCAGACGACGCTCTTCACGCCAATCCGGGCCCTTTCGAATCACGATCAAAAGCAGCGGTGTCGTGGCCATCATCACCAACGCGATGAATGTGAAACACCAGCCCCGGCCCATGGCAGAAAGCATAGGATCGATGAGTGCCGTCGCGCCGGCTCCCAGTAAGCAACGCCCTAAATTATTGGCAGCAGTGGCCTTCGCCGCTTGTGTCGGATATAGGTCTACCAGGAGTGTACTGATGGTGTTGAATGCACCTGTCAGCGTCAATCCCATGAGGAACAGAATACATGTTGGCGCAGCGAGATGAATGCCATAGTTCAAAAACCACCCAAACGCCAGGACGCAGATGCTTCCTAATACGAGAAGAGGGAATGCAATCTGAAGACGAGCTTTTTCAATAGGGAAATTCCGCAGGTCAGTTTCACGGTTCTTGGTTAATGGAAAATTCAATTGCTTTGCGAGTCGCCGGTAGTTGAAGTCCAAGAACTTGCCATTGACAATGGAAGCGATGGTTGCACCGAGGCCAAATGGAATATAGCAGAGACCGACCTGGAGGTCGTCTAGCTCGTAGAGCTCATTGAAAATAAAAGGAATGCTTGCGCTCACGTCGTAAAATCCAGCGAAAAGAATAGCGTTGCAGAAGAGAATGAGACTCATATCCTTCTGGAATACAATGGCGAGTGTCTGGAAAGGATTGGGAAACTTCAGTTTCTGCTTGGGTGCAGTTGCCGTGGATATGACGCCTTCCTCACTAGCCTTTCGGGACTTCAGGTAGCTGACCAGGGACATATTCCATTTCTGAGGAGGCAATGAGCCATTGCCGACAATACCACGAGCAGTTTCCGGGAAGAAAAGCAGAAAAGGAACCATGAAAGCCCCTGCAAAAATGGTCAGAAACCAGAAGATCGCCCGCCAGCCCAAATACTGAGACAATAGACCTCCAATTACTGGTCCGACAGAAGGGCCCATGAGAGATCCTGCCGTGACAAGTCCCATATAGGAACCTCGTTGTGATGCAGTAGCTACATCGGAGACCACCCCCGATGAGAGGGCAATGGTCGTGCTGCTCCCTGCACTTTGCAAGCACCGGAGAAAGAAAAGAGCTGCATAATTGTTTTGCAGGGCAAGTCCAATATTGGCTGCGATATAGATCGTGAAGCACACGATATATGCTGGTCGTCGGCCAGCTTTGTCCGCAAAGTCACCAATAAACATGGGCGACAAGCCTTGAAAAATCTGCATTCTCATTAACCAAGCTATAAAATGAAATTTGCCCTATACACGTAGGAGAGCTTACCATATAACTCGTCAAGGTCAAATTGATCAACGAACTTGATACATGCAGATCTTTCGCTAAGGTATTCAATGCGGGGAAGTAGATCTGAGAAGAGACAGGCGAGAAGAACCCAGCCCAAGAGGCCATGAAGACAATATACCTGCGCTGACTGACTGTGAAGACTGAGTAGTCGACATCAGCAAGGTCCCCTCTTCTTGTTCCCGCATTCGCATCTTGACCGGATTCCGGGTGCAAAACAGATGATTGCTTTATTTCCTTCTCCGTCATCTAGACTGTCAATGTCGAGACCAGACAGGTGAGAAAAAAGGCCTCGGAGACGCAAGAGAAACCTGTGACTCCATTTTTTCTCGCTAGCACGTAAGCGGGAAAGATCCATATCGCCATTTGCGGAGATAACAGCACTGGAAGACGTGCCGAGAAGCCGAAGCTTTACCTATAGGGCTGATCACTACCTTTTACGGACTATACCGTCTGCCTAGGTACTTTGTAAATAGGATTACCTGACCCTAGAATGTGTAAATAAGAAAGGATTCAAAATAAAGGTTCAACAAACTTGAATTGAATCTAAATACATGCAGCTGACACAATACGATAGTATACAACAACACAACGGTCAACACGCCTTGACAGCCTCTTTGCACGCCTGCAAAAAGATCTGACAGAACTCCCACACTTCCGTGTAAGTGTTATACAAGGGTGCAGGGGCGACGCGAACCACATCTGGTTTCCTTTCATCAATAACAACCCCATTCTCCTCCAGACAATGCAGAACCTGATCTAGCAATCCTGGCTGGAGACGTAGACTGAGCTGAGAACCTCGCTCATCTGGGTTTGATGGCGTGATGAGGGTAAATAGTCTATCTTCTGGGGCAGCGTCTAGAGGATACTTCGTCAGAAGATGTTCTAGATATCCCGTGAGGTTGAGGGATTTCTGTCGAATTTCCTTCATTGTGGCCCGGTTGAAGATCTCGAGTGATGCAACGACAGCATTGATATCTAAAACAGAGGGATTTGACAACTGGAATCCAGCGGCACCGGGTTGTGGTAGAAATTCTATAGTTGTCAGCCTCGCCTATCTATACATCAGAACCGGATACTCACTGTTTTCCATGTTGAAGCGCGTTTTGATATCGCCACCCCACCAGCCTGAGAGTCGAGGCCGGAATGTCTCGTCGGTTTCGGGCTGTTTCTCATCTACGGAGCCATGGCGTTCATGGACAAATAGTCCTGCTATTCCACCTGGTCCACTGTTGAGGTACTTGTAATTGCACCATGCCGCAAAATCAACATTCCAATCGTGAAGTTGCAAATCCACATTGCCGGCGGCGTGAGCACAGTCCCAGCCGATCAAGATGCCTTTAGAATGGGCGTGAGCCGTAATCCGTTCAATATCGAAGTATTGCCCTGTGTAGAACTGAATAGCCGAGAGGAGGACGAGTGCGGTGCTAGAAGCATTGTCATCGATCACTTTGATAATTTGTTCGGTGCTAAGGGTAGGCTGATCTAGATTCTTGGGTTCGATCAAAACCATGCCGTCCTTTGGATCGAAGTTATGATGGCGGAGCTGAGACTCAACCGCATACTGAAGTGCACTCGTGTTAGCATCAACAACAAACTCCAAATTTGGACTGCACAACTGAAACGACATACATGGTCACTGGGAAAAGCCTTGCCCTCCAGGATAATCTTATATTTTTCTTTGGTCGGGCGATAGAAGCTTGCCATTAGTAAGTGCAAATTGGCCGTCAAGGTGCCCATAACTGCCACTTCACTTTGAGAGGCGCCCACAACTGAGGCCATGAGCTTGGAGGCTGCAGTATCAACATCGACAAAAGGAGGTAGCAATTGATCATCATGCGGCACAAAGTGCCCGGTCACGCCTTTCGTTGCCCAAGTTCGCAAGTACTGCTCGATATATTTCTGGGTACTACGGGGTTGGACTCCCAGTGAGTTACCACAGAAGTAGATGCATTTTTCATCAGACGCTTCATTGCCTAATCCAAGATTAGAACGGACGTCTGGGTATAGAGATCCTGATACGTACTGTCCTCTACTGCTAGAGTCTTCCGCTTGAGGTCCTTCTTGGATGGAATAATAAACTCATCCCGGAAGCTCCGAAGGGGATCTTGAGCATCAAGAGCTTCGGCATACTCTTTCTTGTAAGCTCTGATATCATGTGTATAGGCAAGCGGGGAGCCGCTTTTGATGTCCTGAACATGCTGCCGGGAACCCATGACGACAGACCTAGATCCAGATAGTTACTCGGAATGCGGGTGTATATTCCGCAAATCTGAGAGCTCTAGCAGACTAGATCTTCAGAAGAGTCATACAACCTTGAACATTTATCTGCAGTCCCCCACCATTCGCCGATCCCTTCCTGATGGGGACATTATTCTGCCATCACTACCCGACTTTGTGTGACCAATGGCGTCACTGCTAAACTGACTAACCCGATGTAATCGAAAATGGGATGATTTCAAATGTTGATATCAAGTGTTCTCCATCTCTGTGCTTTCTCTTCTTGAAATATTTCATTCTTTCACACATCAACAATGTCGCGCTCTTTATTCTCATCATCAGCCGTCCGGCTGTTATCCAAACCACAGACTTGCCGGCTCTTCTCGACTTCCCGGCCGGCTTTGTGCCTCTCCGCATTCCCCGGCGGCGAAGTCGTTCCTCGCCGGCCAGGCACTGTCGCAAGTAGTGTGCCTCCTCTCAAACGCTCGGCACCTCAGTCCTCAGCCCGCCGCTATATCCGCCACCAACATGCGTGTTTTTCTTCCTCGTCCGTCCGTCCTGCGACCAAGGTGACGCGAAACCCGAGAACCGGAGATGATGGACAATCCCTCATGATTGGTATTTCACCACGAGCTGTGGAGGTGAGTTGATTGATTTCTTTGCATTCGGTTTGTCTGCTTTGCTTCGCTCTTCTATCTGGCTTGCGCTGGGACGGGCGGGAAGCTGTCTGGGCTGCATGGACATCAAGTGCCGGTGGGTTGTCTGTCTCGGCGTTGGCTTGCTTTCAGCCGATATGGGACAGCCTGGGAGTGCGCCTTGGGTTGCTCACATGCTCTTCCAAGTACATGCGACCATAGGGTGTGGAAAACAGGGCTTCCCGTCCGCTCAGCCGTACTTAAGCCACACGCCGGTGAGTTAGTAGTTGGGTGGGTGACCACCAGCGAATCCTCACTGTTGCATGTTCTAGTTTTTTTAATTACTTTTTCTTTCGCCTTCCCCGAAAGGAGGGGGGAGATTTAATTTTGTGAACCATCAAGCTAACCCAGCGCAGCGTCTCCGCGAAATCACAGACCCAACCTCCTCTCCCTCCGCTATCAAGGAAGAGAATCCATACCACCATCTTCGCATCACAGTCACAAGCGGCGGATGCCATGGCTTCCAATATCTGATGTCCCTAGAAGGGGCTTCTAAAATTGATCCGGAAGAGGATACTGTGTTTGAAGGAGAAGCAGATGAACATGCAACAGAGTCAGCCGGTGAGGCCAAGGTGGTTATGGATGAGCCTTCGCTTGAGCTGCTGCACGGCAGTACCGTGGACTATACCACCGAGTTAATCGGGAGCCAGTTCAAGATTGTAGATAACCCCCGCGCAACAAGTAACTGCGGTTGCGGAACAAGTTTCGATGTCAGTGATTGAGCAATTTATCTCTTGGAGGAATAGGGGAGATGGTATTTACTATTTTATTCCTTCTCTTCTATTATCTTATGTACATCATACTGCATTCTGCATACTGGAAAGATAGATAATTACTAGAATATGAGGACCTGTGGAATTGACGCCGAAAATGACCGCTTTTGAGGCCAGAAATGGCTCCCTTTCCACTGATAACTCAGGATGTTCAGCCGCCCCCACTGCTCTGTAACACCATTTATTCCGTACTCTAGCATTGCTAGCAATGATGTTGTATTGCCGCTAATTTTTTATTCTACCTACCTAGGTAGGTTGCACCTGGGCATCGCACACGGATTAGTCACCTTCCTCAACTGCACAGGTGTCCCTTGCCCAGGTGGTGACAAACCTAGGTACCTTAGGTAGTTAACTATCTTCATTCTGCATTCTTCCTGTACCACCCTCTTCTCCTTCTAGACGCCCAACATGGCTACGATCATGAAATGGGCCACAAAGGCGTTTCGAAGGGCCCCCTCCCCTCCCATATGCTTTCCCACCAGCGGGTTCGACACCGTCCGCCTTCAGAGGTGCTTGATGAGGAACGGTTTGAGAAGTTCAAACAAGGACAATATTATCCTGCTAATATTGGCGATGTGCTTATTTCCAAATACCAGATTGTTGGTAAACTTGGTTTTGGGAGCACTTCTACTGTATGGCTCGCTCGTGATCTTGAGTAAGTCAGGGCAGATCTACTTATTGTAACTAAACACTGACTCACTGAGACAATCAGGGGTCATCGATAGTGACACTCAAAATCTACGCTTGCGACGAAGGTAATGAGGAAGAGTTTCAGATCTATAAGCAACTAAACTAAGGGCGTCCATGGCACCCTGGCCATGCTCATGTAAGGGAAGTACTGGATATCTTCACAATCCCCTCTTCGGGTGGCAACCATCCGTGTTTTGTTCAGAATCCGACGTGGTGAGCTTTAGGGACCTTCTCTACCACAATCCCAACAATCGATTTACCGAAGATCTCTTCAAATCTGGTCTTATGCAGATCTTTCTTGCACTTGACTACCTGCACACTGAATGCAAGCTTGTCTACACCGGTAAGGCGTATCGACAATGCCTTTCTAATACCCGTTGCCCTAATCTGCATTCTTATAGACATTGAAAGCGATAATATTCTCCAAGAAATAGAAGACAAGTCCGTCCTTGAAAGTTTTACCCAAGCTGAAACAGCCCTTCACCCGGCAAAATTGTTAATGGCTTGCCGGTTTATGCTTCACGACGTTTCGACTTGCCGAAGGTGTTTGGCCGAGCAGTTTGAAGTGATTTTGGCTCTGCCGTACGAGGAGATGAGAGGAGGAATCACGATGCACAGCCAGATGTTTATAGATCGCAAGCAGTGATGCTGAAGACTGATTGGAGCTATCCAGTTGAAATATGGAATGTTGTTGTTATGGTATGCTTTGCCTGTTTACCCTTACCTCTCAATTTCATGTACTAAGAATAATAGGTGTGGGATTTGTTTGAGGGGAGACACCTTTTCCATGGAAATGACCCTGACGGCAAAGGGTACTCGACCTGGACGCATCTTGCAGAAGTTATGGGTATTCTAGGGCCACCTCCTTTAGATATGCTTCAGCGTGGGAAACGAAGCCATGAATTCTTCGCCAGTGATGGTAAGTATCCTTTTCTCGGTCAATGCACTTTGCAAAGGCTTACGAAGACAATCTTACAGGGAAATGGAAGCAAGACATAGAGATTCCGACAGGGGTCAGTTTGGACCAGTTGGAAGAATTCCTCGAGGGAAGAAATAAGGAGATTATTATAGCTTCCATGAGAGCGATGCTTCAGTGGCGGCCTGAAGATAGGAAGACAGTAAGCCCTGGGCCTTCAACCTTAAGACTTTACCCAGAGTGGTTTGATATCCATGCAAATACCATAAATTTCTTAATCAGGAAGTCCGAAATTACGTATAGTGTGCTTCTAAGGCAAGGTTCCCAGGTGACCTCGGGAGTATTCCAAGATTATGGATGCATGATACCTTACATACCTACCTACGTACCAGATTTCCTATGCCAGATCTTGGCTTTCCCTTTCCGCTTTCGTGATCAGCCCCTCGCCGGTTTTGCTCACTGAATAGAACTGAGCACGTCTCTGAATGCTCTGATCAGATCAGTGAGCATTATGTAAGCGCACTGATTTGCTCACTGGACACAACTTGAGCGTCAGGCCCCTCAATAAAACGCAACACGCTAGCACTATCCACGTGAGACCCTCGTTCTTTAGATTGGCCCCACTCTCCCATCAAAAAGGCATTGGCACCAATAACTTTGACGTTTCATTTTAGGACACTTGCTGGTATTCATTGCGCCTCGATAGAGCCTAATGGCTAGTCACCCAATTAGTCAATTAATTAAACTGCATGCTCCTGGGAACCCTTGCCTACTGGTTCTATGGTCTCCTGGATAGGCATAGAGGGAGTGCTAATCCTAGAGCAATTGCATGAATCTACTGGGAGACCGCAACTTGTACCTAGCCACGGCATAAACATCGAAGTCCTCAAAGCTATGATCAAAGGCTAACCAGACGAATTTCTCGTCAAGTCCATTAGCTACCAATAACCTGGCTTACGAGAGCTCAGTCGCAAGTTCAAATCCAAATTCCCACACAAAAAGCCCAAAATCATATACTCCTACGGGATGGAGAGATCGTTCTTACCGAAAAAGTACTACAGCCTTCCTTTTTTGATCTCTTTATCACCCGAAATACTCACAACGTGATGGCTCGCCGACGGACAAGAGAAGATAGAAGGTAAACCGAAGGAGATTCTTGTCGATCTCGATTCTGCAACGGACGGTGAACTGTGGACCACAGGCTATGTCAATACGCGCCCTTTGAATTGAAACCATTCCGATCTGGTGAAATTTAGCAGTCCAGATGATGCAGACTTTCGCGTTTCTAATTGGCGAGGTAGAAGATGACGTTGAACCAAGAGCAAGGTGATATCACTTGAGGTGACGGAGAAACTATAGATTTTCGTATATTGGCTACTGATGTAGAAGAGATGAAACAACGATCGACAGTATCAATGTCACCGAGGGACTATCGTCATTGAAGCAAGTGGACTTGTGATCACGACAATCAAGGATGTTTGACTTCGGGATCCTAATTTCTGCTCAATCTGAAGATCCAAAGTTCATTTTGACTTGGACCAACCAAAGAATAACTATGTAAAAGACGTTCACGAAATTCGTCCAAGAAGCCAAAGCCCGATGGAATCACAGCCTTCCTACACGGCTGAAAATACTCGACGATCTGATTCCCCGCGTTCTCTGCTGTGACGAGGGTAGGTGTTGGAGTCCCTTTGGCGGTGTTGATCCTTGCTGCTGACAATTGTGGATGACCGTACTGATTCCGGGAGCAAAAAGCCAGCTTTAACAATCATGTCTTTCGATTTGCCGGTCATGGGATCGATAAAAGAATAGCACTGCGCTTCGAAGTTCTGAAAAACAATGGCCTTGCTCGACTGGTCCGTTGGCCTTCCAAGGCAAAGCACGGACCCGGACCATCCAATCGCAGGGGTAAATGGTTCGGTTGTTGTCCATAATAGGGACGCAGTTTGAGATCGAGCCGTCCGATCCCATAGGTATTCTGTACCTATGACTGTTGCGTTCCGAATAGCATTTGGATCTCTGGTGCCCTGAAGGAGAAGCCACCTTCCGACGACGGTGTTCATCCGGACTGCGTAGACATCGGAGCCGGCGAGTGCAGTAGAGTAGGACGCCCATTCCGACACGGCTGGATAGCCAGGTGGGCTGACAAGTGCAGGCAGGTTATCATCTGTGATCAGGCTAAGGTCATGCCTATAGCCAGCGGGGTATGGAAGGGCGGGACTAGGATTATCAAAGGTGTGGGAGATTGTGCCGATCTGAATGAATAAGTTAGTGTCCTTCATAGTGAGTAAAGAAAAAGGTAAGGGGCTTACCCGCTTCTTCTCTGTTGCTAACCAAACTTCTTTGCCAATCGGAGAGTTAGTCTGGGAATTCCGTACCACTCTAAGTGCACAAGTATCGGATAGAGGCGGTTGACGGAGGAATCGTCGAAGGGCGCTTCTAGTCCACAAGATCCAGTCGGAGAACATCGAGACCACACGAGACGGCCGAGGGTTCCTTACAAAGCCATGGGTCACAGTCGCTATAGCCTCTTTGCCGTCGGGCATCCGGAGTCTCAGACCCAAGCAGCCAGAGCCATTGAGACTATCGGGGGTTTCGGAGACTTCCATACCAGATATAACAGTGTCGGCACTAACCTTCACTCTCGGTACATCATAGATAGTCCGTAAACCGCCAACTTCCATGATCCAGTCTGTTTCGTAGATATCTCGAATATCCGAAGGCGATCTGAATAGCATGACCAGGAAGCCTGCCACAAGTACTCGAGCCCCTATAGCGGCTGGGAAAAGCTCGCGAAGGCCTTCGAGCTGTTCAGGCGATAGGAGCTTTCGGGGATTGATACCTTCTTTGAAGAGGTATTCCTCCTTCAAAGGCGACCGTGGAGTTAACACTCGTCCCCATGGGTAGAGGTCCTTTCTATCCTCAGGAAACGGGTGCACTGCTCGCCCTCCCGCTTTAGTGTCCGTACACGGACCATGCACAACCCACACCTCAGGGCCATACTGGGGATGGGATACATAGACTTCATCATGCAATCCCAATGCCGGATGATGAGTCCGGAGCAACTGCTCATTCTCTGGCGTTGTCTCAAGAGTATGGGCAGCGCGAATTTTCGCCGACTCAGAAAGTCCCCACTCCCGAGAATCCGTTCCTATTGCTCTAATCAGCGACTCAAGTTCGGAAATAGCAGGTGAAACAGCGCAAGACATCTTACTGTCGACAAGCCTGATTGAGAACCTTTGCCAACGGAAGCAAGTGTCAAAATCGGTATCCGGGGCGGCCAGGCGATTGTAGCGAACCGGGGCCACGAGTCTGCGGCGCTTCGGCTGCATATTGTGGTCTATCTAGCGCTTGAGATTCAAGAAGTTTGACGGAAAGTGATTCTTCTCTTCTGACAGTCGAGTCCAGAGGGCACCAAGCCTGGGAAGTTTTCTTCAAGCAGTCGAGTCCAGGAGGTATCAAGGATAGGAAGGAAATACCCAGATCAGCGCGAAAAGTTGAGGAAAGATGTGGGAGAGCGGTGGGATGACCACTGTGGAAGATGCGCCGAGGAATAGCTAGACTGTCTAGTACTGTTAGGCCCTCGTGATCTTATTCGCTCGACCGAGAACTCCGCCAAGCCGCGGGAGGTGGGTCTTATCCTCCCCTTAACTATTACAGGCCGTAGCTTAACCAAAAGAGGCTTAGTACTATCTTGAGATCAACGCGGCTGTTTCCTGGCTAGTCAGCCCTATGTGAAGTGTGATCAGGACATAAGGCACTAGGATTCTTGTAAACTAAGCCATCTGTGGGAACTAACTATGTGCGTCGATCACGTGGAGCACGTGAGCATCATATCACCCGGTATGGCAATAGCTTCTGCAGGACCAGAGGATAGCTCCAAGAAATCACAGGAAAAGTGCTAGAGCCGCAAATGGACGCATATTTCGCTAGCCAGGTCAGCGAATTCATAACAGCAACAGACGCATGTATAGGCGCTATCGATGACTGGGCTGTACATAACTAGCGCGCTGCGGCCCTCGCAAACTCTTCCCTTGGTGAATAAACGGCTCCACCGAGAGATCCCAGATAACGCCTATGCCGAATCGTTCACCCTGTCGCCGATCAAACCAACTATAGCATTACCCTGGCTGCCCCAGACTGCCATGCTCCGGTTTCCCGAAGAAGATCACCTTCGGGAGAATGTCACCGCGAGGTCAAGAGTCGTCGAGGAATGTAGGGTCAGTAGAATACGACTAGAGTAGATTAGACTTAGCGCATGTTATGATTTCTTTGTACGGTCAAAAGATTCACGCCACTCGGCAAGTTATAACGGCTCTAACTAGACATCTTCAGGGCCCATGAAAGCCCAAGCCCGACCCGGCCCGACCATTGTTTCGAGCCCCTATGGGCCCCCAATCTCTACTAAACAGTGCAAATAGCGCTTGACCCCGACTCTACATAAATTATGCATTATTTCACTGTTATTTTGAGTATTTCAGATACAGGAATGCTCTTAAAATCAGAAGACAGTGTGACACATCGCTATGCGCACATCAAGTCGACCCTTTCTACAGAAACATCCCATCATGTTCTGACGGGAACTCGAGCGACTGCTTAGTCACTACTCTAACCTGTAACGTAATCCACGGCCGAGCTGCGCACACGGCACGTCTGAGCACAGAAATTGTCGCTTGTAAGATTAGTTCGGTATTTCTATTGTGTCCCCACCAAAATTAGTTCGTGATTATTACGCGGCAAAAATCAGTTGTTCTGCATTTTCTCGACTACAAACGCAATTCGCAAAATTTGGGCGACGATATCCTCTAGATATTGAGGCCCTCTATCTATTGGTGGTAGAATTGTCCTAAATTTCTGAAAATCAAGGTCCAATAATTGTACCCAACGTATGTGACTCCTTTTTCCCAGCGGATAGACCGACCATTGCAGTATTCTGGTTCTAATCATGCTAATACTTGGCTTTGACTACTAGTTAAGTCTAAATTAGAGGATTATACTAATGACCCGTCCAAAAGCACGAAAGCCTCCTTCCTTCAAAGCACGTCCGGGTCGTAAGTCCCCTTCCAGCACTAAGCAGACATCCTTAGACAAGTGGTTAAATTCAAGTAACACAATAGTAGTAAAGGCACAGGAGATCACCGAAGAAGCCTAGGAGAAGGGGGAGAAAGAACAGAACGCTGCTATTATTACGGCTATTAAAGGAATCTATACCTTTCCTCTATAGGATAGTTAGCGAGAGGCACTCCACCATCTTATTTTTCTCCGCAAAGGCATGATTCTTATAGCTAAGGCATCATTCGGTAAGAGTATGCTCTGATAAGCAGTATCTCTTCTGCTCAAGAATGCAATTATACTTATTGTGCTTCCACTGAACTAGATTAGTGTAGAGCAAACCGAGTATATCAAAAATCTTGGTGGCAGACCCTGTTTCCTTAATGTCGACACTATTTCTGCGGAGCTACTCGAAGGAGTGAAGGCAGCTAAATATACCCATGTTCTGCTTAGTCCCGAACTTGTAATTAGGGATAAATTTTATGCTGTGGCTACCTATCCACGGTTCCGTGAGTGCCTTCGTCTTGTTGCAGTTAATGAGGCACATTTAGTTGCGCATTAGGGTCGTGCTTTCCGGACGGAATACGCACGAATGCATTAATTACGTGCATTACTAGGAAAGAAAGTCCCTTAGTTTACATACTCAGCAACGTTAGACTAAGCTACTTTAGAGACTGTGAAGCGCGGGTGGGTTTCTTACCAGATATCAAAGTCCAAAGAATCTCTATCAATCGACTAGAGCTGGTTCTCCGTTTAGGCAAGATACCAAAGAATAAACGTCGAGTATATTCAGCCCTACGTTTCCTATTCAAGGAAGGAGAGGTTCTTCGTACTACTCGCGAAACTACGCATTTAAATATCCCTAAGACTGTTGTGTTCTTCGGCACTAACGAAATGTCGCGAATAGTTAAGAATGAGTGATAAGCATCAATACACACCTTAGTAGACTAAGTCTACTATTCGGGTCTTTCATCGTAACACGCTATAGTATAACAAGGAGATAATTATTACAGAATTTCGGTAATTAGCCTTTCAGTCATCGGTCCGGGGTATCTTTGCAACAGAAGCACTAGGGATAGGAGTGAATCTACCCGATATTCGGCGCGTAGTCCTATATGGGATTCCTCGGGGACACCACCCAGTAGTCCCTTAGCAGCGCGGTGGTTGAGGAAGTCGAGATAGGTAGGATAGGGAGATCATCTTGCTAGTAGATAAATGGGCATTTAGCCTCCGTGATAAAGCCGCTGCTCAGAAGTATGCATGCTATTCGAAAGCCTAAGGATTAAGATAGGAGACCTGTGCTATAAATGTTACTGAAGAGCCTAATAAAGAACCTGCTGAAAAGTTGAATGATAAAGAAAACCTAGAGTAGAAATAATCAGCAATCCGATTATTTAATAAGGAACGTCGGGAGCGATTACCAGCATTTTAGTATAATTTCATCAATTCTAGTACGTATATACGGTAGTAATTCTTGGATTTCTTCGAGGAACCCAAGAACGGTGATAACCTAACTCGGAAAGAGCGCTATTACAGCCATTGTAATCCAGACTTTGCTATAAAGGACCTTAATCAGTACTATCTATACAGTGAGAAAGGGCCATCTTACACCAAAAAGCGAAAACTGATGACAGAGGACTTAGAGAAATAGGCCTAGTCTAAATGTCATGAAGTTCTGCGCAAGGACGGGCTCATACTGGATACCAGCTATATCCTAACCGAAGATGAACGTGTTAAACTGGCACGGTATTCCCATCAGATATTAACGAAAGACGACCTCCTCGACAGACTTAGATTGTAGCACTAGTATAGTCGGTTCGATCAAAGTCTCTTTGAAGAACTACGGAAGGTATACTACACTCGTGAGGGTAGTTCTTAAACACCTACGGAATAGCTAGGTCAGGATATATTATTAATGATTCTATGTAATTAGTGGAGTTATACTTACTACGCAGTCTTGACAGTCAAAATTCAAACGCCAGTAAAGAATATATGCATATTGGATGACCCTAGTTAATTCAGCGAATGCAGTAACCTTATATGGTCTTCTGTAATTACACCGGAAAGTATTAACCAATCAATACCCTTTCACAATAACCCTGTGAATCCATGGGTTAATATCGATATATCATCCCAAGATTATATAGATTTAGCACATTCTTCGGTAACTCTAATCCCTAAACGTATGGCTTTAAGTGACGTATTAGGAAACGGGCGTCCACGGAGATGCCCTAGAGGTGTGAGCAAGAAGTAATATGTTAGGTTCCATCTTCATTATCTACTATAGTCACAAAGTCATCAAGAATAGTAATGGGAGTTAAAGTAAGGTGATTCGGATCCTCTCCTCCCTACCACCCTCCATGAAGCCACTGTTGATTGAATTTCTCGACCCCTTTAACTAATACTTCGCCAGAACCTCGGGATAAGATATCCGGAGGTTTAAACCTCGAATCTCGACTATTTGTATGCTTCTCGATGGAATTTAATTAGGCAATCGCATGTGCAAGATTTCAGATATTTATGCTAGCATCCTTAACCTAGTGCCTTCTATTGCTACATTCGCTAAATTCTGCCTCTAATTTGGCCTTCAATTCTGTGCAATAACTGGCTATCAATACCATTCGTTGGAATATGGGTGTGACTTCGAGGGTGGAAGTACGTCGAGTGGCCATTAGGACCTTTATCTAGAGGTTGAGGAACTTATTCAGTCGGTCTATCTCAAACCATGAGTCTACCGCGCCACGAATATTGACCAGACTATTAGCCAAGACAGCCTTTTGAAGCTCTGGGCTTATAGCCGGGGTCTGTGTGAGCCATGTTATATATAAGGAGAGAAAGGTATATTTAGACTTCTTTGAGCCGTGGAAGAGGACACAGCACAGTGTAAATATCCGGCGAATGATCCTAATATCAGTATATTTAATAGCCTTCTTTAGTATCTTGTAGATAGCGATCTGCTGGAGAACTTTAGCGTGTGTAGAGAATAGAAAGTCGATGGAATAATCTGGGAATAGTTTTGCCATATTTTCAGACTGCTGCTCGGCTATAGCAAACAACTCGTCTCGGATCTTCTTAACGATGCGGTGAAAGGAGGTTCGTGTTATATTCTTGATATAATGATCGATCTCCTCGTTAGTTGATAGTTGAATATCTTTATCCGTCTCGTTTGCAAAAGATATTAGTAGCAGGTAGAATTTGGTAGTTATACGGGCATCAAAAGCACGAGTAGCCACTTCCTCCTTATGGTGAAATGGACTTTGTGGCCCTACACATAGCCCAGAAAGTTCTTGTTGTGGTGTAGAGTTGTTTTATCCGCTACTATTTCCGTGCCAGAATAGACTCATGGATTATGTCTATATAGTTAGTTCGCCAATGGAAGAGACTAGTGATAGGGAGTAGCTAATTACATCTATTATATGGCAATATGGCTTCTGCCTGCTCCTTCTTGATGACCTAAATTAAGGAGACCCTCTTTTGATCCCTATATACGAGCCGTAATGGTCTATTAAAGTCTGTGTCTGGATTGTACCCGAGTTGATTAATAAAGATATTACGAATAACCGCATATATGCCGTCAATAGTTCCTTCATTCTCTATAATAGGGCCGAGACCATAATTGGGAGTCTTACGAGGAGGAAGACGCTTAACTACTGGAAACTCTGGCTAATTAACTAGTTGAATTCGAGGTTCTATTAATCTAGTTTGCTTATGCGGCTGATCTATGAAAAGCGCTTCCACTGCCTTACGATGGGTTTCACGGATTGCCTCTGCGATAAAGTGAATCTGACATTATCGGATTACACTATCTTAATCATCTGGGCCTAGAGCGTTATAAATCCCATAACGACTGAGTGGGATGTCTAGATGAAGTATTGATCTCCGTAGCCCTCTAACTGGAATGGATTAGCCAATATAGAGCTTGCTAGTGGTAGCAGAAATGTGTCGAGACTGCTCCCGAAGGGTTTAATGCCGAACGTTTTGATTATAGTCGAAATTGTCCTAATATATGATAAAATTGCCACGAGAAGACTAGGCAGCTTCCTTAAGTTGCCCCTATACTACTATTAGCCCCCAAGAGCCAATTTGCAATCCCGTAGTCCGCAACAACTACTAGATCCATAGACCAATCAGTAATAGGGCAAGGAAGGCCGGTCCCGTTAGGCCAAAAGGTCCAACAGAACATCTTGATATAAGATGTTCCCGATTTGCGGTTTATATACTATGGTGATATCCGTTATCGCAAATTCATAAGGGTAACATGATGAATTATCGTATAACCTTTCCTAACTTAATAAGTTCGCCACGGCGTCGCATTATGGTTATATAGTTTGAAATAATGCCTAAGCCATAGAGAAGATTGAGAGTACGGCGCTTCACCCTTATAGAATGTAAATGCAGGCCGAGTAATACTGGGAACTTATTGCACGTTCGAGGAGCAAAGGCCGATACTAAGATAACATAGATCATAAGTACACTGCCCTGAAAATCCTTAGATGTATTACGAGCGCTAGGATGGTGCTGCGCCATAACGCTCACACAAGCAATGCGCACAGACGAGGAGCAGCAATCTATACGCGTGATGCCATCCTAGGTATATCTAATTGATTAACCGACTCTTCTGCATTAAATTGACCGAGCCCGACCGCGGCATGACCAAATTAAGAAAACTAATGGCAGAATATTACTATAAAGCATTCTATACGCCATTATTAATCATATGAAGACATACCTAGTTAAAATGGGTAAGTTGGTAAGGAGCTATCGAAAGATGCACGTAAAGTGCAATTTCGGTGCTCAGACCTTAGATCAGCGAGCTATCCGATTAGGTTTAGTGCGCTAAAAGCCCGGCAGAATTTTGAATCATGTGATAAGGTCTGAGGGTACTGAGGTGACAATAGATGCCTCTCATGAGTATCTGAGTAATCAGTGAGCTCGCTCACTGATCAGTCACGCGATTATGCTGAGCAGATCATTGAGTCTGAGCCCGGACTGAAATCTACTCAGTTAGCCTGACTCTGAGCGCCCTCATTAAAACGGCGGCAGCTCAGAAAGGCAAGCCCCACCTGGCACAGGAAATATGGTACATAGAGTGCCATATGTACTCATCTTAGAATAGCCTTCTAATCTCGTACTCGTATCCTTCATCTATTCCGGACATCGGCCTTCTCGTGGTCTCCAACAGTCTTTGCCACATCCCAATCTTCAAGTTCTGGCAAAATTGTTCAAACTGTGCGTATCACTCGGATAGGTGGGCGTGGTAATAGCCCCTTCGGTAGTGGGGCGTCCAGCAAGGGCCGACTTGAATCTCTTATCTCTAACCTTGGAAGCCAGAGTCCGTCATATTTGTCAGATTCATAAATATTCACAAGAATGGTCTACCGGCGGTCACATGCCAAATCCCGCCATGGGTGTAGTACCTGCAAGCGGAGGAGGGTCAAGGTGTGTCCCACCGACTCCCTATTAGCATCCACGCCTAACTCTGAACCAGTGTGATGAGCAACGGCCACACTGCACAAACTGTGTTCAGCGAAAGCAAGAATGTGTCTACAGCACGGAAGGGCCCTACTTCTTTGCTGGGAAACCACGAAAATCCGGACGGACGAGACGGTCCTCGATCGCGGAGCAGAACGCCGATCCTTTCGTAGGGAATGTATCAGCCACAGAGGGTCACCCAGGTGCTGCGCAAGCATCCTCAGTCGTTCCTACTCTGAATATGGAACAACTAGAGCTAGAACTGCAATGGATTACACAAACCCACAATTTACTCGCTCGCAACGAAGAGACGCGTAAAGTCTGGGAGGTGTTAGTGTTACAGGAGGCCCTTCACACGCCGTTCCTCATGCACGGAATCCTGGGTCTATCTGCACTGCATCTGTCGCGGCTACGAGACGACAATTCCCAAGCGAAGTGGTTGAGCATTGCTATGTCCCACAAGAACGTTGCACTCTCCATATTCTCCGAGCAACTTTCTAACATCGACCAGTCTAATGCCAAAGCAATGATGAGCTTTGCCGGTCTCGTCGTGGCATTTAGACTCGGAAGTTCTCTGACTCCTGGCTCTACTGACGGTCCAAGCTTAGCGTCTTTGATTGATATATTCACACTTGCCCGTGGAGTGCAGGCAGTTGTTAGCCAGCAGCATGAGTTTCTACAGGAAAGCAACTTCGCACCACTATTCAATATCACACCCCCAGAATTGACCTGGCCAGAGGATATCGTTGATGCCTTTCGTCGTCTTGAGGAGCTGAACGCCCAATGTGGCCAGCAACTTGTCCACCACGACCGTGCAATCTATGAGCGAGACATTGATCATCTCCGCAGTCTCTCGGCTTTTACGCTGGTACAACCTCAATCAATGACTCTCGTTGGGGGATTCGCTATTCGAGCTTCCAAGCATTGTCTCCATGATCTCAGCCGCGAACACCCGTTCGCTTTGGTATTGTTGGCCCACTACTGCGGGTTTCTCCATATGGCCCGGGAAAATTGGTGCGTGGGACCCTGGGGGAGTATTGTCTTGGAAGAAATCCAGCAATTACTACCGCCGGATTGGCAGCATCATCTGGAATGGCCGGTTCGGCAAGTTTGGGGTGTGGGAAGCGATGAATTTGGGGTTCTAATGGAGAGCTAGAAATATATTCACTGTAAAACGGAAAAGCCATTATATGTTATTCGTTGTTATGCACTCTGCCAGTGCCGCTACCTTCAAGTCACATTGAGTATATGTGTGTTGGAGCCTCCCAAGGCGGAAAGACAGAGAGAGGGGAAAGAGAGTTGTATTCCCCAGGAAGAGACAATCTCCCAGATCTATCTGACTAGTACACTATATGAGGCTACTGGCCTGACAAATCCGGCGACACCCGATCCTCCAGCACCCATCTCAACAATATGTGAACGAGGATGTATTTAGCCGTGCAAGTTGACTTGGGATCCTTGATGACGTGCAGGCTCTGACGGAGTGATTAGGTCGCTGGCGTTCTTTATCATTTGTGTCACACTCAAGATGTCCTGTAAATTTGTAACCCTCGCGCGTCTCTTCCAGCCTAAGTCGGTAGGAAGACGCTCGTTCTCTATGGGTTGATACGGTCGGAATCAGATAGTGCAGCATAGGATCTGGGTCTGTCAACTTACCAAAGAAATATTCAACGAGGTTCCTATTGACTGTCCCTGTTTGTACGTCGCCAAATGCAATAATTGGAGCGGCCACCTCTCCCAAGCTGAATTGTTCGGTCTTTGCGGTAAAAGTATAGGTAGGATTATATGCCTTCGAATTGATCTGGCGTGCAACTTTGCTATTCGCCAGCATATCCGGGTCGAGGATAGGTCCAGTCCAGTACGCCTTGGTCTCTTCGAATATAGTCTCGTTAAAGGCGTGGTTATTTCCAAAGAATGCATCCGAGCGACTGTATGCTTTTATGTCAGTGCCCGTTCACATTCTCAACAGTCAATGGTTATGGAGCCTGTGTCTTAAAAGAAAGCAAGGGTCAGCTCACCTCAGGCTAGCATCGTGTTCCAAAACATTGTGACGGTTGAGATCGTCTCTGAAGCAAATAGGATCAGTAAAGAGTTGACTAATATCCGCCTCATTTGGAAAGGAAGTGGCTTGAAGTGTTGGCCTGAAAGACAGTCCAGGTAGGGAAGTAGTCTCAAAGAGATTTAGTCCTTACAGAGTGAAGACGGTAGCATTTGGCTCGGGGTTAGCTACAACCCCCATATCAAACATCAAGCTAGCCAGGCTGCCATTGAAATTGAGAGCTTGGCCAAGGGCATCGACCAAATTCTCTCGCGTAATATTTCTGCCGTCGTGCGGAAGGAATCCATGATTTGCTAGAGTATTCATCATGGGACAAGGACCTCGGTCTTTGAAAATATTAGTCTCTTAACATGACCAGAATATCTTAGGGCCACAATACAATCAGATTTGCCAGCTGGTTTCCAATGGAAGGTATACTCCCATTCAGACGATGCAGTAGCCACGGACAAGGTAAGCAGGATAGCAGCACCATAAAACTTCATCTTGCAGGTCTCAGTCGCTGTGGCAATAGAGCAAGGGAATGTTCAGAGGGCTGCTGGATAGATGACATTGACCGGAAAACAGAAAAAACTTATATACTAGACCACGGGGTAGATGGATCCAATTAAAGTCATGGTAATATCTTCCAGGCATCATCTTTCTCCTTGTCTCGGATATTACGAATTAGCCCTAAAATGACTCGTACTCGTACCAATGGCTACATATGGACCGATCAATACTTATCCAAGTTGGATCATAGCCTTCTGACGTAGGTAACGGTCAGATTGCTGTCGATCCCTCTGGGGTTTGTGGATGATTTGCATGCTGTTCTCCAATCTATCTTTCTTCTACTAGATATATTGAACGAGTTTTGGACCTTTCGCACCCAACCACCTCAGATTCTTCGCGAGGCTCGTACTTTCCAATTTTAGATATAATGAATTAATAGTAAACTTATTCGTGCCACGCTTTGAGGCACCAATAAGGACTTTGAACTCATGAAGCCTTGATTCCTTGTCCCGAGGTCTTTTCTGAACATTCTGATAAAGCTCGCTCTCCCCTATCCTGAGCAGGGAGTTGCCATTCTATTGAGAATACTACCCCTGAAAGGGCATTCGAAGATCATTATCTCCCTTGTAATTAAAATTTTCAAATTCATCTTGCCAAATGTTTCATCGCCCAGCTGTAGCCTGATCTGCACTCATATGCTCGTACTCGTATCGTTTACCGAAGGAAGAAATAAACCAATGCTCGTCCCCACTGTGATCAATACATGCGTTCAAGTTCGTGTCCATAGACGAAATCTCGAGCAGTTTATAAACGAGTACAAAGTTGATTTAGACATACATTGTGACCTGGTCCGTCTCAAAAATGACATCCCAAGTCTCCTGCAACGAGCAACAAGTCCCACCATGTGGATGGCGCATTTGATCTCCTTAGTCCTTTTGGTGACCAGTGTAAACTCAGCGAAATGCAAATGTGTGAGTTGCAGCTACCTCTCTCAAAGGCCCTGTAAGAGCCGTTAGCTAAATCTAGGTTATCCTTGCAAGACGCCCAATGACCCCTGCTGGCCATCCACTTTGGAATGGTCGTCTCTGAATGAAACCGTCTCTGGCCGCCTGATAAAGACGAAGCCACCAGGAAGTGTGTGCTATCCAACCGAGTCCGACTATAACCTATCTGCCTGCAACAATATTCTCGAGAATTGGACCACATCGGTTTTCCACTCTTCAAATCCTTCCAGTGTGTCAGATCTCGTCTACTCCAACAGCAGTTGCAGCCCAATATATCCAAACGGCACCAACGTCTCCGGTGACCCAGATGCTGAAGTAGAAGGGGGTTCGATGGGAAACCTATCTCCGTATGTGGTCAATGCCATGGAAGCTTCGCATGTACAGGCCGCGTTGGAATTTGCACATAGGAGAAACTGGCGACTTAATATCAAGGACACGGGACATAATCCAGAGAAGAGGTGAGCTCAAACAGTTTTGCAGCTTGCTTTCAGCTCAGTGCCAATAATTTGTGACATATAGTTCTGCTTATGGAAGTCTCTCGTATGATCTTTGCCGCCCGAATGCAAAAGTTGAAGTGGCATGCTGATTCTGATAGGATTTGGACACACTTTATGAAGGGATGTAAATTTCACGAGTCCTTCAAACCACAAACGTGTGGCGGTCTCGAGGGTCATATGGCGGCTACCGTTGGTGCAGGGATTCAAGATGGTGAACTATTTCAGTTCCTAGCCCAGAACGACGCAATAGCTGTTGGGGGGAACAGACCCGGTATTGACCAAATAAACCTTAAAATCTTTTTACCATGTTACTTATAAAGGGACAATAGGATGTTGGTGTGGTGGGCTGGGCGACCGGAGGAGGTCACGGCCTTGCAACTGCGGAATATGGCATGGGTGCGGACAATATTATCGAGGCTGTGCTTGTTACCCCACACGGTGAGGCCGTGACTACCAACGCATGCCAAAACAAAGATTTGTACTGGGCTATTCGTGGAGGTGGTGGTGGCACGTTTGGTGTGATTCTCAGTGTCACCGTCAGAGCGTACCCTATGCTATCGATTACACGAGTGGATATTGATATTTCGGCCCGGAATGGAACGTCCCCTAAACACTGGTGGATACTCATTGCAAAGATTCACAAGGAGCTGCTCTATCTACAGGATGCCGGCCTGGGTGGTTCCTGCACCACTTTTTCCGGACCTCCGTTTTACTTCCACGATACTTTGCTGCAGTACAATACCAGCAATGCTGACTCGGCCGACGAATCTGTCAAACCATTGAAGGGTCTATTAGGCTACGCAAACGAAAGTGTCGAGTCAACAATTACAACTTCCTGGTCATCTTCCTGGTACGACTTGATCAAGTTATTGCCGGCGACTGAGAATGTTGGCACCAAGCGCAGCATACGGGCATCTCGGCTCCTACCACGAAGGGCAATCGAGAACACAATGGGGCTTGCTTATATATTGGAGGAGATTGGACCCCAGCAAGTGCCCTTAGATGTAAGTCAAGATCCAATCTCGTCTCTTACCACGAACTAAGGAACATCGCAGAATGGCATCTCAAACCCATCGATATCTGGAACAATGACCATCAGCAAAGTACAAACGGATAATGCTTTAAACCCGGCCTGGCGTGAGGCCGCTGTTCATTTTATTACCAGTCAGCAATGGAATGATACACTTCCAAATTCCATTGCCGAGGGGGCAATTGAAAGCATGACTTATGACAAAGGGTACTATTTGCGACAGCTGGCACCAGACTCCGGGGCCTATTATAATGAGGCATGAAGGCTGTTTCCCCGTGATGAAAGTGTCAATAGAGGTTGGTCGGCTTACTTTGCAACAGGCTAATCCGTTTGAACCAAATTGGCAATGGTCTTTTGGGGACCGAATTATGCCCAGCTTCTTTCTATCAGACAAAAATATGACCCTGAAAACCTCCTATGGTGCCATCATTGTGGGAGGAGCGAGGAGCTGGCGCAACAGGTTGATGGGGCTCTCTGTCAGGTATTCTGATTTGACCTGCAACCTTGGAAATGCTTTGGGATTACCAACCTTGGAAGGTTATACACCACCCATAGCTCTTCCCTTAGAAACAATGCGATCCCTGCAGTATCCTACCTCACCGGGAATTTAAAAGAACAAGAGGATTCGAGACTGCAATACAGACACTTGCAGGAAAGAAGGCTCGGACAATGGATATCAACGATTTGCGTATCAAAACTTCCGGTAACGCTAAAAAGAGAACAAGAAATCATGGAAATAGAGTCCGAGGTAACAGTAAATGCCTAGTTCCACATAGAAACCAAGACCGACTTAATCCTCCTCCATCTTCGCAAGACCACCACGGCTACGCCGAATGCGTTCATCCAGAGTATCTTCCTGTACTCGCTTATTGACATCAGACATGAACCGGCCCCGGTCTGAACGCTGCCGATCGTCAGCCTCCCGCTGCTCTTCCTCCTTAGCAGAGATCTCCGCGATTCGCCGCTGTCGCTCTGATTCGACTTCGGTGGCGTTGGATTGCATCTCTGCCAACTTGCGACGACGTTCTTCTTCTAGCTCCTTGGGATCGGGCTTGTTGGTCGGAGTACGGTTGGAGGGTGGCCCCATGGCCCGGCCAGAGTCACGTCGATTATTGTATTCGCGCCGCGGGAAGTCACGACGGCGATGTTCGTCTGCGGCAGGACATTCTTTACGATCGCTAGATAGGCGAGGAGATCGGGATGGTGAGCGGTCCCGCCCACCTCTGTCTTCGCGATCTTGGTGTCGGCTGGAGTAGGAGTCTCTCTTATCTTCGTAGTCGCGACGGTCTCGACCCCGGTCCCTATCGTCTCGGCGTGGTCGATGCTCGTCGCTTCTCCGATCAGAGCGGTGTGCGTCGTCGCGGCGATCACGATCACGGTCACTTCGGTATTTGCGCGAAGATCGATCGGGCGAACCAGGTGATCTAGATCGGTGTCGTCGAGGTGAAGATCTTCGGTGGCGGCGGTCGCGGCGGTCATCAACAGCATCATCACTATAGCGCCTGCGCTTTGAGTCGTGCGTACGATGGCGACGGTCACGATCTTTTCCGCGATCGCGATCTCCGCGTTCCTTCTCTCTTTCCTTGCGTCTGAGTGTCTCTTTCACCATCGCCTCATAAGCAGCCTGTTCTCTCTTCTTCACTTCGAGTAGCGGATCCGCCATAACCTTCGACATAGTGTCGCGCGCCGAGGCAATAGACGGGCCGGCTGCGGCACCATTGCCCACCACCTCCGAACCCTTCCCCAGTTTCTTAGTGTCGGGGTCGTTCTTCAGGAGAACCCCATCGATGCGGCGCTTTCCCAGCAGGTATCCCTCCATCTCCTCCGAATAATGCCCGGTCTCGGTCGAGGGTGCCTGGTACATCCAGTCGACCCGGCGGTGTTGCTTTGTCTTTCCGGAGGCTTCTTGGAGGCGCTGAATCTCCTCCATCTGGCGCTCTTCCTCTCGTTCGCGCTGTAGTTGCGCAATCTGTTTGCGCTCGTCAAGAGCGCGTTTCTCCTCCAGCCATACGCGCTCCTGGTTCTTGATCAAGCCTGGGTGCCATGACCTGGTCGGACGGTTAGTGTTATGCTTCTCTCTTGGGGTAGATATTGAAGCCAAGACTCGGTACTTACTTCTTCAAGTTCAAATCTCCACCCATGATGCTTGGAAATGCAAAGAACAAAACCAAAAAAGGTGGTATGAGTAAGTTGCTACGTCCGAAGCTGAATCCCCGTCGGGACCTAACTTAAGCTCAATCGCCACTGATCACGTGCTATCTATCTATCACGACTGCACTTTGTCTAGGGTTGATATGGACCTCATCTGTTAGGTGAATATGTAAAATAAAATGGAATAATACGATGGGGATTCTCTCTTTTTCTCTTTTAACCACAAAGAGTCATCTAGATGTCCATACAACCTCAAACTACTACCAAGGGAGCAGAATTAACCATGAACAAGAAGCATTAAGAGCTGTAGTAGAAGAAGTCAGAAATAAGAACAAAAAAATAGCAGATGACGGGGTTTAACTCTAAATACAAGGTGAGGAATCGAAACAAAACGCATCATATCATATCATCATCGCCGTAGAACTCCAACAGCAAAGCCAGATTACCAGAAACTACACCATCCAATCCAGTGTTGACAGATATTCTCAACATTGGTCGCCTGCGCAATGAGTTTGTCCACTTGGTCACTGACACTCAGCTCTTCATTATTTCTGAAGTCTCGTCCGGTGAGCTTCTCCTTAACCCGGGCGAGAACCTGGAGAGCACGGGCATTCTGTGCCTCGCGGGCTTCTTGTGGAACGCCTTCCGGAGCATCGAGGATACCACCTTCAAGCATGGATGGGCGGCGGCGACGGGAGTAATCGCCCGGCGGCTGCGCGCCGGGTTCGAAATTGACACCGTCCATGATGGACTGGCGGCGATCCGCGGTGAGAGACACTCGGTCGGGGGACTCTTGTGTACCCAGGCGCCAGTTGATTAGAGGGTCGTGGATGAACTAGAAACGTAAAGGTTAGCATGGTTTCAGAACGTCAAGAAATCAGGTCACTTACAGCTTCCAAAACTGCCATCAAAGAATCCTTGTGCTCTCGTAGAACACGCATGACGGCCTCGCAAGTGATGCGGTAGCTACCCTCAATGTTGCTGACTTCCATGGCGAATGTCAACATACGAGTAAGTCGGAACGGAACTCGCTCGGGGTACTTCTCTCGGTGCATTGCGATCTCGAAACAATCACCAAAGTCGATATGAACCACACGGCCATTACCACGATCCAGCAACAAGTTCGATGGATGCCTGTCTCCCAGACCAAGGATGTAGCCGACCATAGACATAACACCCAGCGATCGAGTATAGTTCGTTCGGCGTTCGAGCCACGCCTCAGAGCTCTTGCTCTTGAGCCATAGCACACGGTACAGATCTTTGCCGGTCGTGTTGTCCATAGCGTAGCCGAAGACTTCGACCTTCTGCATAAGAGTAAGGCTATCGTAGTCGGGTGCCATTTGAAGCATGATCCGGTGCTCGATGTTGAGTAGAATCCGACGGCTTTCACGGTATTCCTTGATCAAGGCATGCAATGTATCGCTGTTGGACACCCATCCTAGGAGACCAGAGCTCTGAGACAATGGAATAGCAGGGAAGCGCTGAACCGACAAATGTCGCTTGAAACTCTCGCCATCGTTATCCAGCAAGGTATTACACAAGCCGAAAAGTTGCATGACTCGCTCATCTTGTCGGATATCTTCATGACCCTTGACAAGGTACATGTAAGAGCTACCGTTGCTGCCCTTGAGCGTCATGCGACGCGGTCGTTTTTTTGTTTGCAAAACATGCAAGATCGGGTCAAAGCTCATGATTCGAATAACTGGCTTGCCACTCTGGTATGTCCCTGGGACCGCAAGGTCAAGGTCTGAGCAATCCTTGAGTCGAGGAGAGACGTATTTAAGGTCGAGAGTCGATAGCTGTGGTAGTTGTCGGCTGATCTTGCGGAACACAGTGTAATACAGGTCCCAAGCTTGGTTAAGGTCGCCGATTTCCTCCGATTCGCGATACATCATGCAGTAATGCTTGGCTTCAGCCAGATCACGACCGAAAGCTTGCGCAAATGACACCTCACGAAGGGTCTCAGCGCCCTTGTCTAGCATATCATGGAAGGGGGCAAGTGTTGAGAACATGCCTTCAACATTGTGGTCGCCGAAATAGAGACGAGAGGCTTCTTCCAGACCTTCATGCCAGAGTTCATGCCACAAGACCGCAACTCGGATAAGCTCATGACTCACGAGATCTGCTTGCTCGACAAGTTTGGCGCTATGTTGCCGCATACTTTCCATGATGTTGCTGGCAGATTGAGAGCGCCGAGTGACGTTCGATTTCATTGCCACCGTCAGTGGATACACAAGGGCTTGAGGATGCGCTTTGCCAACCTCGGCAAGCAACCTATGAACCGCACCGCGGACCCTGATATTGGGCTGATTGATTCGAGCGATCAGTTGAGGGGTGACAGCAAGCCAAGTGTCAATATTGACAGCCGTAAATCCTTCCGTGACGACAGTATTCACCTCATGATCTCCGCCATGATTAAACCACAGAGTGAGTAATCTTAAGGTGTCTTGCAACGAAGATGTCAAGGACAAAGCGATGGAGCGAATGAATCCGCGAATGGCAGGAATCACATGTTCTGTGACGATATGAGCAGGAACCGGTGCAGGTATGCCCTCACGGTTAGCCTGGTTGGCAATCGTTGTAACAACTTCGAAGTTTGCGAGTGCCCAGGAGTGCCACGCCTTGTATGAATCGCGGTTGTATTGGGTCGCCGCCGAGTAGGCGTTGAGAACCTCTCGAACGTGTTCCGGTCTCCAATCACCCCTCTGCAGAGTGGTCTGCCACTCTCCCTGCCTAAGATAGCTCTTGGAGAGAAGTTTTCTGAATTTGTTGACGTCACCAATCCGTTCATTCAGGCTGATGGCATCTGGGTGGTTCTGATCGACGACCCCATTGACTCCATTCGCGCCATGATGATCACCATTTGATACCATGAGTGTGTTGTATCTGGAGAAATCATCGGTCAGACCGGAGGTAAACTCCTTCATCATTTCAAGTGATTCTACTTGGTGACCATTTGCCCAACTGAATTTCAGCCGGGCATATGTGACTTCAGGTGGTGCGATAGTGCGCGTGCCATTGGCATCGGACACCACTGTCTCTAGAGATGCAAGGGACCGTTCTGCAAGACCCATGCGATTGGACTTGCGACAAAGATTGGCGAACTTGATGGACATATCAAGATTCTCACGCGGGGCAGTGACAAGAGCTCTAACCTTGAGCATACGCTGCCACACTTCCACATTTTGCTGACATCCAAGCAGTCTTTGATTCCAAGTTTTACGCATGGCATCTTGCTTTTCAGGGTCGCCGATGTTTTGCTTGTATGTGATGATCTCTTCTAGCTCGGCGAGCATCTGGACCCGGACAACAACATTGTAGGCACGGTTGTATGACTCTCCCAGAAGAGCAGACAATTCCGTATCGAGACCATTGCGGGCCTTCTCAATGTACATGTTGGCCTCTTCGAATTGGTTTCGATGGATTGCCAGAATGGCACCGAAGAAAGAGCGGTCCGGAGACTGCTCTTTCATGACACCGAGGTAAGAGTCCATCAACTCCCACTGGCCCCGACCCCACGCAGCGGCAGCGGCGAGAGGTGCAATAGCGCGGCGATGCTCCAGTGACGCTTGGTTCCACTTTTCTTGGGCGAGGTCCGAGAGAACCTTCCACTCGCCAAGAGCGTGCAAACAACGCATCTTACCCATGGTGATACCAAATGAGTCTGGGTCCGTCTTCTCACGTCGCTTGTAGGCAGCAAGGGCTTCGTCCCACCGTTGGAGCTTCTCGAACCATGTTTCCTTGAGCTCCACATCACGATATGCCTGCGCTTTGCGAAGGATACCGATGGCAGCGTCGGACTGCTGAAGTTGGTTGTTAATGGTGATCAAGGCTTCAACCGCACCTGAGTTCTGGTCTTGTTCGAACTCAAGTTCTTTGTAGTGAAGAGCTTTAGCAAAAGCATGACACTTAGCAGCATACTTCCCAAGGGTGCGGATGTCGATGGGAAGAGCCTTGTCATCGTGCTCCATGAATTCGGCCAGATTGAGCAGAATTTGCAAAATCTCTGGGGAGATGTTGGGAGAAGTAAGCGCCTTTTCAATTGAGCGGACGAGCTCTTCTTGGTATTGATCATATAACTCAGTCCAGCACGAGACGAAAGCAGCATTGAAAAGGTCCCTTGAGAGCGGCTGATAGATACCAGCTAAGCTAGCACATGCACGCAATGCCGGAGATGGGGATTCCTTCAACAGCTCAATGCTGAAACGGCGTATCCATTCCTGCCAATCGTCACGAGTAGACTTTTGTGAAGCATCCCATGCGTTTTTGAGATGTTGCTGGTTCACGACAATCTTCTTTTGTCCAATTTCGGAAAAATTGGTGTCATCCGTGGGGAAAGAATAAACCTCTTCTGGATTCAGGTCCTGCGGGAGGGGGTCGCCCTTTTGGAGTTTGGTCACCAGGATTTGGTAGTTGACATGCGCGATCTGATTGGCTTTTAGGACCTTGTTTAGAAGATGAATGTAATGCGTGAAGTCTTGTCCGAGTTGGAAAATGAGAGCACAAATGCAGTCCATCGCAGCTTGACGGAGCACGCGGTCACCGCCAGCCACGACTCGTGACAGGGAATGAACCATTAGGGATGCAAAGTCAGAGACGTTGACTTGCCGCGATAGTTTTGTCAGGCTATCGATGGCGGATTTGCGGATGCTCTGAGGATTTTGTGGCCGATCAAACAGATGAACAATGGAAGGAATTATGAGATGCATGTACTCCTCTCCGCTTGTGCCGAAAATCAAAAGAGCATGAAGAATCTTCTCAGAAGGCTGTCGACGAGGCGACGTGTCTTTATCAAGTGTATCTAGCATCAAAGGAATCAGGCCAGCAAGATACTTCCTGAATTCTCCTTCCAATGACCTAGCAATCGCCTCGACCAAAGATATAATTGTACCTTGGATTTGATATGAAGCGTCCCAGAAATCTCTAATGACCTCGATTATCTCTGGAAGGAAAGTGCGAATATGTTGTCGCACGATATTCACCAAGATTGCCATCTGATTGAAGTAGGACTCAAGACGACTAGCAGGAGCGCTTCTGATAACCAAGATAAACCCTGGAATAATTTGTCCAAGGAATGGGACACACTTCAAGCCCAGAGTCTTGAAAATTGTGACGATGGCATCAATGACAGCTGAGTGATATTGCGCCAGGGAGTTCTCGCGCAGAATGTTCTGCATCAAAGTATGGATGACAACGGTGGGATAATACTCTTCATTGGAGGGCGTGAGACCCTGCATAATGAGGGCAACATCAGAAACATTCTGTATTTCGTTGATATGGTGTACATCAGGTTCAATCTCGCTGATCTGTTGGTATTTGTAGGGATCAAGGGCACCGAGCACTCCGACAAGCTTGATGGTCTCCTTGCGTAGAGAGCCTGTCTGTTCCGTTTTGATGATATTGATGAGTACGGCGAGAAGATGGGGGTATTCCATGTATGGCTCGATGACGTAGCCTGAATTGCTGGCCAACTGTCCTAAGGTCCGAAGCGCAGCTTCACGTTTGTTATGCGACGAAAGGTCCTGGAGTGAGTCCAGAATAATTGGCATAATCTGCGGCAGGTACTGTCTCATCTCATGTCCGCCGACGCTGGCGAGCTCACCGACAGCCTTCAAAGTAGTGGCAGCAACGCCGGGATTGATGTCTGTTGACTTGGGCAACAATGCGGTCACCATGGGATCAACGTATGACCTGATCAATTTCGTCGCGTTAGAGACAAATAAGCTGATGAGTTGAGCTGTTTCCTCCTTTTGGCGGGCAGTATTCGCGAAGCCGAGGCCAGTGAGAAGATTAACCAGCAGCTTTCGTAGTGGCGGAAAGACATAAGCAGGGTTGACGCTGGAAAGTCGACCGATAATGCAGATCGCGGCTTCTTTGACGTCGAAAGCCTCATCATTGACTGCTAAGAACAGACATCGAATATTCTCTGGTCGTGCCAAGTGCCGATCAAATTTGCGGTCCAGCGACCACAAAACGGTGCGTCGGATTTCAGGGTCAGGGTCTCCGATGCCCACAGTCAAGAGCTTGTCAATAACCTCGCTGACAACTTGAATGGAGTGTCCGCTGGTTTGGTTGATGATCGGATCGTGGACGAACAGCTGACAGCATGTAAGAGCTGATGCCTTTCGAATTTCGGGATTGTCATTTTCCACGTAGTTGATAGCAACATCACGCACGAACTCGTTTAATATGTGCCCAGAGAAGTCAAAGCTGCCTAATGTGTGAAGCGCCAATGCGATATCGGAATCAGAGTGAAGCTCGTGGGGTGCAAAGTCTTTTGCGAATGATGGCATAGGAGGTAGTCGGTTTTCAGGACACCCGAGGGGCCGGAATGGCGTTCCACAAAGGATGATACTCAGCATATCAAGAAGCTTTTCCTGGATCATGGGTTTTATGGGAGGAATGTAATGGGCCATGTCGACCAGAGCTTGTGTTAATGATTTGCTCAGCCCGCAGGCAAAAATGGGATCCAGAAGAGCTTCCATGTATTTGCTGAGCGCTTGTCCCACTGCGAGGGACAGCATGCTGATGCACTCAAACATTGGCGCCTCGTTAACTCCTGAACGATTCCTCGCCTTCATTGCAAGTCCCTCTCGAATGTAGATAATGATGCCATCGAGATATTGGCCGATAGCGGTACCCACTGCATTGGCAATCTTTCCAATGGCAATGAAGGCGGAGTTCCTCTCTTTATCTCTCTTAAGTTGCGCTTGGAGGTAGACCATGAATTTGTGTAAATAGATCTCAGTGAAATCGGTTGGGGCATATGAGGCAAGAATGGGGATGGTGAGGACGACTTCGGTGCGAATCTTCGGGTCACGATGGTCCTTGAGACGGAGGATGATTTCGCAAGCATTCCGATAATGTTCTTTCATGAACATTGTGCCCTTCAAGATCAACTCTTTGATGATCAAAATTGAGCCATGGATCCAATCAATGTTATGGGACTTCAAGCCCAGAAGTGCTTCATCGTGTATCCGTGCAAACCATGATTGACGGACTTGAGAATCACGAGCCACGATTATTTCAAAGCATTCGCCAACGGCCTCGGCGGCAGTCTCACGGATGAGGACTTTCGGATCTCGAAGGGCAACCCAGACAAGCTCAAATACCTGCGGAACGAAGCCGTAGAGGAGTGTTGGTGAGCCTTTTGCCAGTTCCCGGATCACAAGCACTGCTGCAAACCGGCGACTTTCCTGTCGCTCCGACTGTAACCATTCTAATGCAGATTGTATTTCGCTTTCCACCAGTTCTGCGGTTAGAGCCCCGCCGGGCTTCGCCAGGCGGCCCAGCGATCGGGCTGCATACACTAGGACCACGTTATCATTGCTGCGAAGGGCGCTGCGCAAGTAACTGGCAAATCTCGTCGTTTTCTGAGCGGCATCGACTCCGTCAAAGTCAATGAGTCGATCGAGTGCTAACAATCCACCGATCCTTTCGTTTGCATCGCTACCGTTGACGACGAGTTGGGCGATACGTTGGCTAACGGCGTTGTAAAATTCCACGAACTTCTCCGATGGCCAATCTGCACAAGGAGATATGTCAGCTAGTTAGAGGTCTCAGAGTTCAACCGGTAATACCTCTGGACACAGATAGGACGTTATCGTAGAGCTCGTAGGCAGCTCTGGCCCTGGCCTCCTCATTCTTCGACTTGAGCTCCACGAACAATCTTTGGGTCACGTCTGTGATTGCACCTGCTTGGGCCATATTTGCAAATCACACCCCAGGGTGGACATTGGAATGCAAGGTCTAGGCCATAAAATAGAACGCAGAGCGCATAAAGTTGGATGGTGGAGGGAGGGTCATGTGTGAGGCTTGGAGAAGGTCGAGGGGTGCACGGGCCAAGTTTGGAGTTCCCGACTCCTGCGACCCTGGCACCCTGACCATCTACAACCACTCTATAACTAATCACTATATACTATTTGATATTTATTTGTCCTTGACAGTATACTACAGATAACCCCTGGCTTTGGGGGATTCTGGTATGTTTGAGAAGTCATATTATCCTCAACACCAAATACGTCGCTCAAAGGATCCGTTGGCTTTGGCGATTCGGGTAGCCTGACATTTGTGCAAGCACCATATCGATAATATAGAAAGACATCCAAGAAGGCAGCATAGTGCTTATCTTAAATATATCGTCAAAGATAGAGGCCGCACAAGCGGCCGACTTTTCTCGTTTTGTATCATTGAGATTTCCATAGGGATAGAAGCGCACAGGTTTGCTTACATCTATAAGTGTGACAAGGCCTTATTCAGTACTCTGCTTAAGATGAATTCATCCTCGTACTAGGATAAGCATTCGGGTGCTTTAACAAAGTCACTTGATATCAGGCTGCTCGCACATTCTAGGGAAAGCTTTGTGAATATGGGTCTAGCATGAACAGCTATAAGAGCCGTAGTAGCTAATGTAGGGTATGAGAATTTACAGAATGTCAAATGGAAGGCCTAACTGGAAGATACGAGAAAATGTGATGGAGTCAAGCATGAAGACATTCAATACAGTGATCGATGCTAGCATCTAATCTAGTGAATTATTTCCCATGCCTTGAATCAAGAGACACTAAGCAGATATCAAATGTTTGAAGCACCGAGTTCCACTAGATATATAACTGATATCTCATTAGTATTTGTATACTCCACCAAGGTATGACATCTCATTTCTTACCAAGGACTGTGTAGAGCGTGCTTCTACAGTCGGAATAAGCAGATAAGGAGCCTAGGTGCTAGTGACCTTGAGTTCGATTAGGTTGAATAGTGTAAATAGATATTGTATAACTATAGAGAATACTGCCTAGGCGGGTTGGGATTGAATCATGTAGGGTTCAATTATAGTACGAGAAGATATACTGAATGTCCATAGGCTAAAGCCCTTTTCTCCGACGGTATGGATTTATCTGAACAACATTAATGCCTTAACTCCATTAAACACCGAGAGGGCATTTGTAATCGCTGGTCAAGCTTTCCATGCTGTAATGGGCCACTGCGGGGGATGGCGGGATTGAGGGGAACCATAAAAGCCAAGCTCCTCGCTCCTTATCTATTCATTCTTGAATATCTCATACATCTGTAACTCCATAAATTATCTCCCACAATGGTTAAAGTTCTCTTGACTGGTATGTGATTTATATCTGTCCTCAAACCCAATCTGATTATCTACTTTAGGAGGCAGTGGCTTCATCGCCGCCCATATCGTCGACATTCTGCTACAGCATGGGTATGATTTAGCCAACACAGAAATACATATTATTGGTTGACAGTTTTACTCTAGTTTTGATACAGTCGTTACCGTCCGATCGGAGGAGAAGGGCAAACGGATCATTGAGGCGCACCCCAACGTGCCGAAGGAGAAACTCTCTTATGTGATTGTCAAGGATGTAGCCAAGGACGGTGCATTTGATGATGTTAGTAGAAGATCCTTCCTCTAACAAGTACACAGCTAATGGAAATACAACAGGCCGTCAAATCAAACCCTCCATTTGACTATGTTCTCCATACCGCATCTCCTTTCCATTTTAACGTTCAGGACCCTGTGAAAGACTTCCTTGACCCGGCCATCAAGGGAACGACCGGTATCTTGAAGGCAATCAAAGAGTACGCCCCTACCGTGAAGCGAGTCGTAATCACGTCATCTTTTGCTGCTATTGTGAACGGCAAGCAGCACCCCAAGGTCTACAGCGAGAAAGAATGGAATCCAGTGACATGGGAGGAGGCGATGGACCACTCGCAAGTTTATCGTGGTAGTAAGGTATGTGATATTTGACGGTCAGTCTGAGTACACGCAAGCACTAAGTCAGTACCATTTCAGACTTTTGCGGAGAAAGCAGCATGGACGTTCGTCGAGAAGGAGAAACCGAATTTCGATGTTGCTACCATCAATCCACCACTGGTATTTGGCCCGATCGTTCATTATCTCAACTCTCTTGAGAGTCTCAACACCTCGAACCAGCGCCTGAGAAACCTCATCCAGGGTCAAATGAAGGAGAAAATAGCCCCAACGGGCAATTTCCTGTGGGTGGATGTGCGTGATGTGGCCCTCGCACATGTCAGAGCCATCGAAGTTCCTGAAGCAGGAGGAGAGAGATTCTTTATCGTTGGTGGCTTCTTCTCGAACAAGGAACTTGCAGATATTGCTCGCGAGACCCACCCCAGGTTAGAGTCTAAGCTTCCCCCTGCAGACTCTCCCAGCGACTTCCCTGAAAACATCTATGAGATTGACAACAATAAGTCGCAAAAGACCCTTGGACTCAAATATCGCCCACTTAAGCAGACAGTCTCAGACACCATCGATTCTCTTCTAGCTGTTGGTGCTTAAACTCGGAGACGTCTTGTTCACTTCATAGATCTAGATTGAAATTGATGGATACTTTGTAAAAGCAATCAAATATTATTCTTTTACAACAACAACAACAACAATACATATGAAAGTAATTTTAAGCAACAGAGATTTCATCAAGCGCCACCCTAATCTTACGCATTATAATGAAGACAATCTACATGACAAAGATTGGTGAATGGTCCTGAGGTCTTTGGGAGATCATATAGATACAAAACCGCGGGGTTGGTAGTTATGGCTTACCGTACCGCTTTGGCCCGTGTTCTCCGGTCAACTTTTCTCGCGCCAGCTATTCAAGGTCACACACATAGTCAATCCATTGAACAAGATGGCCTCCGCCAGGCTATCGCCAACGGCGAACTTGCTGCGAAATTCGCGTTTGTTCGCACTCCCTAAAACTCTCAAGCGCCGCAATGACCAGACAACAAGACACTCCGACACCGCAACTATGCCTTACCCCATTCGAGCCTCCATCGTCACACCGCAATCATCGCTAGCTCGAGGCGATTGGGGATTGAAACGACCTTTACCGGCTAAGTCGACATCGGAGAAATCGTCGCGACCTGTCGTCAGAGTTCACGCTCTCGATACCTATGAACATGTCACCGACTTCGAATCCGCCGCAGATCACACTGTGACCCTCGAGAAGTTCCAGGAGCTGCACATGCCTATGTCTCTCCCCTCCAAAGTCAATTATGCTACGAGTGTTGTGCCAAGGCATCAAAGTCCGTTCGAAACACATTTGGATAACACCGAGACCAGCCAGGGTCTCCAGGAACCTGGTGCCAAACAATTCAGACACTCTGGTCCCTGGCTTGCTGGGCAGACAGAGGCAGAGTTCGCTGCTTACTTGAAGCAAGTGACTCGCAATAAGCCTGAGCTCCTGCAGAAGCTTCGTGAACAGTTTGTTGTTAAGCGGTCTGCTGAAATCCGGAAACTGGCACAGGATAATGGAGAGGACTTGGAAGCCCATCCCGCAACTGTCACCGATGCCGAGTTCAATGCCTACCTTAAAACCCTGCGGAACGACCCATTCGCCCTTGGCCCAGTGGTATTTGAGCTGCTCGACCTCGCCTCCTCCCCTGCCGTTCCCAGCGAGCGTATCGGGCGCAAGTACTATCAATCCCCTTCAAGCAAGTTGTCCTCATTCGAGTACGCCGTCTCAGGACCCCCGAAGACACACCCGTCTGGTGGTCTGTCCTATACACGATCACACGCTCTGATTCACAACCATGCTCAGTTTGGCCCACAAGCCCACCAGCGCCCCGTGGAGGCTCGCATCTTGCGCCCCAAGGGCCGCTTTAAGGGACGCATGGCACGTGCCCTTGCAGGTATCGGTGGTATTGCTGTCGAAGATTTGAATTCCATGACCTTTGTAGAGCAGGGCACACCACCTGGTCTGACTTTCTTCGATGCGTCCATCCCCGGCGGAGGTAAATACTGGGTCACTCCCATCCGGGCTTCGGTTGACTCCGACGGCCGCATTGGCCTTTCATCTTATCGCGCGAGTGCAACCGCTAAGGCTCCCTACGGAATCGAAGACTATAAGAAGCCGAATACCTTGACAATCTCCGATGTTGCCACTGCGCCATCCCCGCTGGTCCCTAGATTGGACAGACAGCCATTCGGCCAGCCTCGGTTCCAGCCTTCCACTGAGAACCGCACCCGGAGGCAACCTACGAGGGGAACGGAGGACGTCGCACGCAGCCTTCTCAATAACCTCAACTCTAGGTCATAGGGAAAAGTATTATGGGTGGATGTGCAAGGGATTGTACCATGTATGATAGATTTGGGGCTTGTGTAAAGCTACTTTCATTTTTCTTTTCTGACTATGTCATATAAATCGGATGCATCAATATCAAGCTATTTTCACAGCGATCATTGCAAAGGCCCATTATCCACTGGAAGGGAGATAACAAGACAAGTAAGTAACTTCAATAATCGTACACTTGATGATGTTGTGTTTGCTACCTTCCTAAATGAGCAAGCGCGATAACGCAAATTATTATGTAATCCAATAAAATCAACGACGCACGTGATTTTGTGGTTAGGGCCTAGGGCAAGGACCCGCACAAGACTAAGCGAAAGCCGACTCTCAAACTGATCCAAATCGGCACGACTACTCTCGATCTTTCGAACATTCATTCCGCCAGCCAACAACCGCCAAAATGGGTCGCGTCCGTACCAAGACAGTCAAGCGCTCCGCTAAGGTCATCATCGAGCGTTACTACCCCAAGTTGACCCTCGACTTCGAGACCAACAAGCGCATCTGTGATGAGATCGCCATCATTGCCTCCAAGCGTCTTCGCAACAAGGTGAGACTCAATCAATTGACACCAACATTCGAGATCTCCAACTCTGATTCCAAATTTCTTCTAGATCGCTGGTTACACTACCCACTTGATGAAGCGCATCCAGCGTGGTCCCGTCCGCGGTATCTCCTTCAAGCTTCAGGAGGAGGAGCGTGAACGCAAGGACCAGTACGTTCCTGAGGTCTCCGCTCTCGACGTCTCCCAGACCGAGTCCGGCCAGCTCGACGTTGACGCCGACACCAAGGACCTTCTCAAGTCCATGGGCGTAAGTTTCCACCGCATACTGCAATACTTCGCATATCTAATATGTCTCTGCAGTTCGATAACCTCAAGGTCAACGTTGTTGCCGTCAGCCAGCAGCAGCAGGCCGAGCGCCCCCGTCGTTTCGGTCCCCGCTAAATCCAGCGCCCGGACTAACGAAAAAAAAAAGTTCATACCTGGCCTTTGGTCGACCCTGGCGGTACCCCGACAATGTCTGTTCTGGCTGGCTTTTCGCTCGGCTAGCATGGTTTAGCTTAGTGTGGAAGGCTGTTCCTGGATGAGGAATGAATAAACATGATTCTCTTTGAGAAAGGTGTCGCTGATTCTCCTTTCGGAGATGACGCTTGATTGCCATTTTTCCCCTCGTGTCTACCTATGAGTCTACTCTCTAGGTTGGACTGCGTAGGAGTTCTTGGACTGGGGGTTACCTCGGTCCAAGAGACTCGAGACCTTTGGTGGTCTGAGTCATTCCCAGATTCGTATTTACATATTCTATGTGTGTATGAGTCCTGCTGGCCAGACTATAGCCATACATATGGTCTCTGCGTAGATTGTTCATTACTCATGAGTCAATGTCAACATTGATCGGGTATTAAAAAATGTAGAACGCCGAAAACCCCCTTGGAATCCCATAGCAACCTTGCTATATATCATCAGATCTGATCGAGCAAATCTATGTCTCCATCTTGATCCGGGCCTCGTCGCTCGCTGGGCACGTATCCTTCAATGGAACCGCCATTTGCATCCTCCGGGCGCATCTGTGGAGCGCCAGCGACCTGCTGAGAACCACGTTGATTCTCTCTGATGTTGACGTCAACACGTCCATCCGGACGAATTAAGCTGGTATCGCCGCGTTCCAACGCAAGCTCCCCGGACCGGTCGCGATTCCCAAGTCCCATGCTCTGCAAATCATTCACAATGGAAGAGACACTGCTGGTAGCCGCTGGTGCCTTCAAGCGCTTGGCGCGAGCTTCTTCAAGCAGTAGAATAGTCGTGCCCCGCGTATCGCCCGCCCGTCGTTCCCACACAGGCTTCTCGGATAGTTGCACCCGGATCCAAAGAGCACGCTCTGCGCAAACATCTGAACACCATTTTTCGATGCGGTCCTGGGAGACGATATCCACACTGCGTCCGCGCCCTCCTGGCCCGCTTCCTTTGGGGCCGTATTTAAATTGGAACCCGCCTCGCGGGCCGGTGTCTTGCTTACGATGCTTGCGAGGACATAGAGCATACCCGCACAAGTCTTCGTAGTTTCGCTCCAGGATCAGATTGTCGTAGTCGCTAGGGCGGAATGGGGCTAGCGAGTATTTGAGTTTTACGGTATCTTCTTGAGACGGAGCGGCAGGGTCTGCTGTCGGGGAGGAGGGGAGCTCAATGAGCTCGAGGATGCGGTTTAGGATGACATCTTCGGCGTCCTTTTGGGTCTGAATCTGCTGCGCGTGTTGCAGGGCGACTTCGAGGTGCTTCTGAGTCGCACCGGGCCTTCCTTCTAGGTATCTGTCTTGCTCTTCCTGTGTAGGGTATAGGTATGAAGGTGGGGGTTGCTGGGCATTGACGGCGGCATATGTCTCGGGAAGAGAGGTCTTGAGAGCGTGGCTTGGCCCTTGCTGTGCCATGGTTTAGAATTGAGGCCCTGGAAGATAGCCTGCCAGGTAATTTCAATTGAAAAGGGGTTGAGTTGTGAAGCGAGATGAAATAAAAAAAAAAGTATGGAACCAGCAGAATTCAGTTTCAAAGCGGAAGAGGCAAAAACCCCGGATTGACAGTTTACTGCTGACGTAGGCTTTGGGCATCCAAGGTCTTTATAGGAGGTGTCATTTTTGAGATTTGGGATCGCATAGACTTGCACATGTCGTACTCTGTATACTACTACATGTTGTATGTACTCGGCACAATTTATTTATGTAGAAATATTTCTCTTCACCTGTATAAGTTCGACGTCTGTAGCCGTCCAGCTACCTACATAGCTACATATACCAAGCTAGCTAATATACCTCTCTTGAAAAGAAGTTTGACAATTACATATATCTAAATCAGTACAAAATCCCTTGATATTTGAATATATCTGGGCATTTCCCCTCATGTGCGTGTTCCCTGGTTGATGTGTTAGCCGCCGATCGCCCAGTGGAGCCCAGTTCACTCATCCCGCCAAGTGACGACCACCTCACTACATCCTCCTCCCCTTCTACTTTTTTGTCTCTCCGACCGTGTTGCTTTTTTTCTTTTCATCTTGCATCGATTTTTTGCTGGCCCTGGATAGGGTGTTCGGTTCTCCACGCCGTGAGTGCTTCCGCAGTTCCCCTCTTCCCCCCATCCCCTCGTAGGCACCACCCATTGACGTCCGTTTCATCTAAGCTGGCACGCCTTTGTACCACAGAGGGATTGATTCGTTTCGCCTTAGATATCTCTACATGCTAAAGGTATTGAAGCTGGCGATTCGATCTGTACAGATATTCTACCGTCATTGCGTCACAGCCTCGTTCAGCATTCCTCACTCCACACCGATTGTCCTAAAGTCCGAACATCGGTCTCGACTTGCCAGATGTCAAGTCCACCCTTTACGGTCCGCTCGGTCTTCGAGTATTCTTCGGGCCACGATGACGACCTCAACTTCCCGATCGGTCAAATCGTGACCGTCACCGCCCTGGAGGACGACGATTGGTACTACGGTGAATACTCAGACGCCCAGGGGGCTAAGCGGGAGGGCATATTCCCGAAAAACTTCGTTGAACGATATGAGCCCCCTGCCCCTCCGAGACCATCTCGACCCAGACCCAAAAAGGAGCCCGAGCCGGCGCCAGCGGAGTCCCCCGTGGTCGAAAGCAAGCAGGCTGAGCCCGAGCCCGAGCCAGAGGTGCAGCCCGCGGAGGAAGATTATGAGATTACATCCCCGCAGCCACCTGCGCCTCAGTCTCCTCCTTTACATGCGAGTGCTCCTGTAGCAGAAGTGGCATCCTCGCCTCCGCAGCCGGCAAAGGCGCCTGCTCCCGCCCCTCCCGTGGCCCCAACTGAACCCGCAGCCAAGGCACCCTCAAAACCTGCGCCTCCAGCTGTAGCAGAGAAGCCTTCGGGGTCATCATTCAGGGATCGTATTGCTGCCTTCAACAAACCCGCTGCAGCACCAGTTACGCCATTCAAACCGGGTGGTTCCCAGCCATCCTTCATCAAGAAGCCTTTTGTCGCGCCGCCTCCTAGCCGGGACGCCTACAAGCCTCCGCCAAGGGAACCTGCACCCAAGATCTACAAAAGAGAGGAGGATCCTGATGTGAAGGAACAAATTGCCCGCGAGCCTCCGGTTTCTGAAAGCCGGCCTGCTCCCGTTGAAGGCGGCGAAGAGGGCGCAGAGGACCAGCCCAAGCCAACTAGTCTGAAAGACCGAATTGCTTTGCTTCAGAAGCAGCAATTAGAGCAAGCTCAGCGTCACGCAGAAGCAGCTCAGAAGAAAGAAAAACTATCCCGCCCGCCTCCTAAGAAGTCGATGGATGAACCTGTAGCACCCCCAGTCGGCGACGACGAACAGGAGCCTCCCTCTGTCGAAGAATCCTCCGCTGCTCGGGATCCTAGCGTCGATACATTGAGGGCTGCGGCTCCTCCACAGCCCCCTACCCCATTCTCGCCCACCCAAGAAGTTGCGAGTGACGCCAATGACGCCGACTATTCCGCTGCTGCAGACTCCGAGGATGCAGGCGAAACATCCGCTAGTAAGGATGACGAGGAAGATCAGCCTCAGCCTCGTCCAGTCTCCCAGCGTCAACCGTCGACTCGTGCAGTCGAGCAAACTGCCGAGGCAGATGTCGAAGACGAGGGCGAGGCAGAGGAAGAGGAGGAAATGGATCCTGAAACCAAGCGCAGAATGGAACTGCGTGAGCGAATGGCCAAGATGAGCGGTGGAATGGGTATGATGGGTCTGTTCGGCCCGCCTGCCGGAGGTATGCCAGGCATGTCTAGTGCCGGTGGTGCCCGCAAGCCCAAGACTCCCGGCGAGTCAGAGAAGAGGCTTGGAGAGCTTGAGTCTGAGCCCACTTCGCCTGCCAATGCGCCCCCGGTTCCTATGATCCCCCTTCCTGGAATGAACGTCGCTAGCAAGCTAGTACCTTCTTCTAGTGAAGTGGAGAAGGAAGAGGAGGAGCCCTCGGCAACTCCGATCACGGAGCAACACTCTGCACGCGAGGTGCCAGACGTCGAGGAGGTCATCCACGAAGGTGCACTGCCTCGTACCTCAATTGACCGTCCGGTCCCGCCTCCCCCGTCTCAAGGTAAGGCATTCTCCAGCAGCCTAATGCATGCTTTCAATTCCTGATAATCGCAGACCGTTCGGCACCTCCTCCGCCTCCCCGAGAGTCAAGACCAGTCCCGACTGTCCCAGGTGAGCCACCGGCTTCCCCTCCGCCAGTTCCTGCAGGTATGTACCCCAATCCCGACATAAATTACTTGATGTGGGCATTAACGATGTTATGCAGGCCGACCAGTTCCTCCTCCACCACGGCCCACAACTGCTGAAAAGGGTGAAGAATCTGATGATGAATTATCGGTGCACGCATCTAATCTGTCATTGAATAACTCGGCTGCTCCACCGGCCGTGCCTGCACCTGCGATACCTGATCAGATTGACTCTCGCCGCTCCTCAACATATGACCCCGTGTCCTCTACGGCTTCGACTCCTGCGGCTGAAAAGAGAGCTAGTCGTCTACCACCACCTATTCCAGTCAACCCGCCCATGCCACCGTCGTCGCAGGGCCGCGCTCCCCCTCCCCCGCCTCCGGATCAGCTTCGTCGCCGATCTACCAACGATAGTCGCACGAGTGCGTTATCCGCTCCTCGGCAGGCTGGAGAGGAAGCGGAAGGAGAGGTGACTGAATACGATGGAGACTACGACACTGATATCGCATCCGGTGTAAAGCACAAGGACGCTCTGAAAGCTCATGAGCGTGACTCCAGCTTTGACGAGGGTGTTATCACCGACGACCATTCCAGTCAGTCCCCGCGCAGTCCCCATGAATCTCGGCATCCCCCTCCTCCTCCACCCACGGCTCCCAGGGCAGTTCCGCCTCCACCACCAAGCCAGCCGCCCCGGAATGCCCGTGGTTCTATCGACACACCCAGAGGACCACCGCCTCCTCCACCCAACAGAGAGCCAGCTAGCGATGATGACGCTGAATATGACCCTTTCAACTACTCTGCTCCCCGGCATGGTCTCCCCACATCTCCGCCCCTCCCGCTCGGTCGCCCAGAGGCTCATCCTCCTTTCCCACCACAACAAGCGGCCGATGAATACGACGATCTGTATGATGCACCCCCTGTGCAGAGCCCGAAAGAAAGACCACCTGCCTTGAATGAGAAGCGTCTTTCACTGGCGCCTCAGCCTCCCCAAAGCCAGGCTTCGGGTTTGCCATCCCCGTCCGCAGCCCGACCTCAACGCGCATCTATGGATCTTCTAAGAAATCAACCTAACCTTCGCCGTTCTATGGATGTTTCTCGCCCATCTATTGACCAAGGGTACATCGCCACCGATGTTGATTTCGCCACGTATACCCTTTGGTGGACTAAAGCCAACACCCCGCCTCCGGCTTTCCAGAACCGCACTGATTTGCTTTTCGAGATCGAGGAGACTGCATCCACGAACCGCAGTGGCAAAACAACAGTCTCGAAAGACGTCTATATCCTGTTCATCGACTACTCTCAGACAGTTCTGAATGTCCAATTCGACCCCAAGAACCCTGCCGATGCTTCTTTCGAGCAGCGCCATGAACCCCCGCCGCTCACGCTTCGCCAGGACCAGCTCGAGCAGGCTCATATTCAGCTTGGAACCCGAATCTCGGAAGCCGTCAACTCAGTCCAAAACTCTACTGTTGGAGACGGCACTCCATTCAGCCTGGTCCAGCACCTGCTCAGTCCCCTTCCCGATGCGCTACTTCCCGTGGGGACCCGCGGATACGGCGCCGCAGTTTATTCAAACCTGGCCAATGCCTCCGTGTCTCAGAATGACGAAATCCGCGCTGGTGATATCGTCAGCTTCCGCAATGCACGATTCCAGGGCCACCGCGGCACCATGCATCAGAAGTACAGCGCCGAGGTTGGAAAGCCCGACCACGTCGGCATCGTGGTGGATTGGGATGGCACGAAGAAGAAGATCCGAGCCTGGGAGCAAGGCCGCGAGAGCAAGAAGGTCAAGATGGAGAGCTTCAAGCTAAACGACCTCCGTAGTGGCGAATGCAAGGTCTGGCGAGTGATGCCCCGTAGCTGGGTGGGCTGGGAAGCCAGTAAGTAACCGGACGAAAGGATTCTGGTTTGAGAATTCGACCTTTGTGTTGTAGTTAGTGCGCTATGAGCAGACGACCCTTTCTTTTGTGTTTTCGCTTGCCCCTTCTAGATTGGGTGGGGTCATGTATGAATGAAAAGGAGCCTCATTTCTCCCCTGTCTTCTATATTCTTCTCCCTTTTCCCTTCTCTTTTTTTCCTGTCCTGCTCCCCTTCTCGCGAATCATGTGCACTCAGTGTGGTAATGTGAGACGGGAAATGGTGGTCCCTGTTGATGAAGAGTCGAGCGGGCGTGCAGCTTTTCGTATTTTTTTTGTCAATGGTACATCTTGCATTATTCTATCCCTGGGCAAACTATGAGATACTATTCTCGATTTTTCGGTCTATATATAAGCGGTGATAGCTTCGTTGGTAGATATATATGTGACTTTCCAATGTTACGAAGTACTGTAGCGATGACAACAATATATCTCCTTACGGGTGCCAGGTTCAATAGAACTTCAGTACTCCGTACAATTCATCAAACCTTAATCCGTGCTCCGTACTGAGTACGGAATAGCCAACATTGCTCGGGTTCGGAATAATTAGGGCCTAACGAGGATATAACATTGAGGGGCCCAGTTCCTCATCCGTGTTCTAGAACCCAGCGCCCCGTCTGAAATAAATTAACAGAACTCGGGCGAGCTAAGAAAGTTTTCTCAAATTAATCGAATTCGACGGGCACCAAACCCAACTGCCGACTCCACTGGAGACAAATTCGTAGCGGTTTTACCCTGTTCACACCCAGCCGAGTAAAACAGCGCCTCAAACCCACAATCAGACACAAACCTACAACATACTTCGCAGATACGATGATGTGCGTACCATCGTCCGGAGTACAGTGCCCCCGAAGCCTGAGATCAAAGAATCATTTCTCCCTACAGAGTACTGAGTCCTCCGAGCGGATTGCGCCTTGGTCATACGATTTATCCTGGTAAATTCCATGCGCTTCATGAACAATGTCGAGAGACCGGAGGCTCCCCGGTCTCAGCAACCCCTCATGACCGACAGGGAAGGGGCAGGAAGGAGCTCCAATTATAATGTTTGTCCTTTCATTTGTTGACTTTTCACCAAGCCCCTGGACCTCCGTTATTCCGGACATTGATATTCGCGATCGGTTCCTGGATTCCGAGCTGATCGCGAATATCAGATATCAGATTGTTATGCATTCTGGAAGTATAGATCAATGTAAGGTGACAATATTCTACCCGTGGCACTCGGTAGTCTCGTGTATGGCATTTTATATTTAGGGCCTTTGAGGGCAGTGACACGTCCAAAATCGGAGATTTGATTTTTTCTTTTTTGAAAACATGAAACGGAATTTTCCACGAGGATTGGCCCCACGGATTGCTCCGTTGGTTGAGACCCGGTTGGCGGATCCTTTCCGGTACGTTATCGATGTCTTTTGATGCTCCGTATATTGTACATGGATTTATATTGATTACATCAATCAAACATAGCATCCATTTTAGGTCTCAGGTGTCATATTTGTAGTCCAATCTGAAAAAATTGAAACACTTAAAAGCCCTGTCCGCAAATGTGCGACACTAAACAGAACACGAAGTGTTAAATTACTATCCGTATTAGGACTAGTCAGGGGCACTACACCAACTAAGGCCGGTTTACCATTTCTTTTCTGGACTTTCTAGGGCTAATAATCATAATTAATGACGCCTAAGTCTTTCTAGTCAATTTCGGAAGTTTGAAAAGCTTGTAAGCGGGGCCTTCCCAAACGGCTGTCAAGCCTACCAGCCAAAACGTAGACGCGCTAAAGAAGTTTGCTCCCCTTTTTACCATTCTAGGCTTTGGGGCTGTTTGGTTCCACCACACAGATTGTGGGAGAAATTCTTTTTCAATATGAACAGACCTCCATCGAAAAGTTGTTGGGTCCAGTGGAGAGTAGTTGGACTCAATCGGAACATCTACCATGGTTCAGCTACTCTCTGACCTCTGATACGAAGTAGGAAGTCGGAAGGTCCAACTTACATAGCCTCATCAGATGCAGAGTCAAGTGCCACCATTGTCCTGCACGCTGCAAGAGGTCCTGCACAGTCGGAACATTCATGGATTCAGGTCTTGGCCTTATTCTTGTGTTATTATTGCACGCTCAGCACCTAATATTGTGGCTGAGTTGTCCACGATGTACCATTGTTCATTTCTCAAAGCCATATTTTCAATATATTGCTGTACCACATATGGACATATTCCAGATTATGATCGCGACGAATCTCCCACACATATTCTAACTTTATTGCATATTGTAGTACAGAGTGCTGAGTATCGCATGGTCTGATTAGCCTAAGTTGATTACAACCAATGGATTGCCCTTGCTGCCAGGTTCCTGCAAAGCAAGGAGTTTAATGGGTTATATTGTGTGTGACTTGAACCTACTTCTCGATCCTGATGAGATATTGGACGGATGAACCACCGTGACCACCTTCCACATCAATGTCTTGCCCCGAACTGTGGAATGAAGTAATGGGGCGAGGATCTTGGTGTTTCCCGTGCCCAGGCCCCTGGGACTCCTTAGCGAATAGGTGCTCCTCGTTCCTTCATTACGGAGTCCTTGGTGTCATGGGAAAACAACACAGCACATACGGAGTACATCATCAAATTGCATGTTTCGAAAAGAATTGGCCACATCGACATGTCCAACCTATCCCGCAGTCGTTAGGGTGGCGTTCAGCCCCAGGTTCCACATTCCGGAAGCGAGAAGAGAGGGCAGAGAGGGGGGTGGATGTGATCCTGAACATTTTATTTTTATTTTACGCAAGGGGTTGAAATACATTACAGTAAATTTGCGAGATGGATACTTTATCTCTAGGAGAATCTGCACTGTTCGCCTAAGTAGCTGTACAATACCATACCTGAATCGGACCATGGATGCAGCTTCGGGAAGCCCTGGGGCCATCATGGACAGGTATACAAGACACTGAAACAGTAAATAAACAGAAGTAGATTGTCCATACAACATACATATGTATGTAGTTAAACAGCTGAAGATAATAATAAAAAAAAGTAACCAGAACAAGAGTAAGAACATCATTGAACGGTACTTAATATCGATCGGCCGGTGGACACCAATTTGAGCCGATCATCTAGATCCCTTTTTACTTTTTTTTTCTCTTGGTAAATATCCATGGTATGCCGCTAAGAGAGTCTTGGAGAGTTACAGTTCTGGATCCATTCCAAATCTCCCCTCTTCATCGCATTCTTCGCGTCATTTTCCCCAGTCACTCTTTTTGGACCTATTTCCTTCTCGACCGACTGCATATTTCCTATTTCTCTCATGCTGTGATCTGTCAATCCCCGCTAATTACTTGAATTGGTCTTGGATCCGGACCATTCACGGTACACGGAACCTGGCATTCCTTACGCCTCTTCTCTTCAGGAGACATTTCTCTCTCTGACCTCAATCTGCACTCGTCGTTGCACTTGAAGGTCATGCCGCTCATTTCGTTCTCTGGATAAGGATATCCATTGAGTCACTTCGAGGGCTTTGAGCCAAACAGGGACACTGATCAATCGACTCTTAAGCTACCACCACACACTCGTTGGATTGAACGACATTCATTCAAACCGATATTAAATATTACCGAATCGCATTCATTCCTTTCCTATTACGAGGTGGCCACTGAGCGCCTTGAGCCTACCATCCACGATGATGGACCGATTCCGCAAACACAAGAAGGCAAAGGAGGCCGCGGAGGATCAAGAAGGGACATCGCCAGGATTCAGCCTGAAGCCGAAGAAGAAGGTGGAACCGGAACCCAAACCAGATTTCGACCTATCCGCCGCACTACCCCCGACAGACAACTTCCGCACCAGTCTGCTAATGCCTAAATTGTCGGCTCGATTTAGCATGCTGAAGGAACAGGACGACCCACTATCAATGCTAGGCAAGGCTAGTGATGATAGCGTTTTGTTTCCCAAGCGCGCTTCCCGACTCAATTTGTTCGGTCACAGCCCCGCCATGCTGGCAGATATCGACGAAGTTAGCTCCAATGACGGTAGTCGACCATCTTTTGCACTTGACCGCACCGCTTCTTACGCTTCCGGTGGGGATGGGGGTTATGGTACAGACGATGACCGATCCCAGGCGGGTAGTATGATGAGCAGAGCCCGTCGCGCAGAGGGCAACAATTTGTTCGGAGGTCGCCAAAAGATTTACAAGATTCCGGTCAGGTCGCCAGGGACAACAACCCCCGATGCGCCAGAGGCTAGTCGTCGGGGAATGGGAAAACCGGTCTATGACCACGACATGAACCTATCTGCGTTCCAGCGGTTGCGTCTCAAGGAAAAGGAAGACAAATCGGCGGAGGCCGCTCGGGAGTCTGGATATGCCGCTTCAACTGCCTCATCTAACAGCCGAGCCACATACTCCTCCACCGCATCTGGGCCTATATCAACAGTTGCAACATCAACTGCAGGAACCTCAGCCGACGAGCCACCGTTGAATACATCCCAATCTCCAGTGACTGGTTATCCGTTCCCCGAAACCCTTCCTGAAGCCCCTCGACCCGGTCCTGCCCCCATGTCTGCCCCGCGCAATGGTTCGATCCGGAACCGTCGTCTCTACGGCCAGGGATTGACTCAGACTGCTCAGAGCCAGCAGAGCTCAACCTTGAACCGCCTGGAGAGTCTGAGTCGTCAGCGTGCCGGCACTCCAGATCTCCCCTCTTTGAACCGTAACTACTCCAGAAGTGCCACCAACTTGCGGGACCGCCTGGAAAAACTTGCAATTGCCGAACCGGCTTCTACCTCACGGCCGACTAGCCCTCCGTCATCCGCAACATCACCAAAGCCGCGCATGTCCGGAGAACCCACGTTCAGAGACCGTCTCTCGCCTACAGCAGCAACGTTTGGGGCTCCTCCCCTGAGCCCTCCCACAAGCGAGAACGACGAAGTTCCATCTCTGTTGGCTGCGTCGATTTACCCAGAAGATCATGGAAAGGCTACCGCCATGGGCTTGTTCAACCGGCCTGCCACTGGTTTTGATGAGCAGGCATTCTCCCGCCGCCAACTTCAAATGCACCAAGGACGAGAGACCCCGCCTCCGCGCCGTGCATCACCCCCGCGTCGACCTCTACCTGCAGAACCCGCCGGCCGTGCTCGGGGACTATCAAAGTCCAGCTATTGTTCCCGAGCAGAGTCCGCGTCGTCTCACTATAGTAGTGATGCGCACCGCGGCGTCGATCATTCTTCTGCACCCAGCGTTGAGGCCTCTCCCTTCAGACCCGGAGTGAGGACCTTCTATGCCAACTCAAGTGCCAGCGAGTCTGGCGATGAAGGAGAGAACCGCTCTTCGCATGATCTCCCATCTGCGACTTCGCTAGCCACCGAGTACAGCCCGCCGCTTCAGCACTCTAGCGTAGCATCTGACAAGCCATCAACTCCCACGAAGGATCACCTCGAAACGCTCCCCGAAGTGAGATACTCCGACCTAGGTGATCTTAGACCTATCGACGAGAATGACCTTGACTGCACAACTTTTTCTCCTGGAATCAGCGATAACACACCCAAGAGACCTGACTCACCAACTCTGCAACCGGATCAAGGCTTTGGTGGAATGGCGGGAATGGTCCGATCTCACCTGCGCCAGGAAAGCGAGAAATCTGTGAACTCCCCTCCTTCACCTCGCTTGTCGGAGCACCAGAATGATAGCCACTCCCCTGAGGCCAAGACCCAGAAATCGACCCCCCAGGCACCGACTGATCTCCCCATGACGGCAGAACCCCGCGAAGAGGGTCGGCCATCATCAGGAACCCGCCCAGGAACATCGAGCTCGCAAGCTCCTTCTGGGAATTCTGCCGAGGGTTCGCGTTCTCGAAACAGCCAAGAGTCATCTGCACCTGGAACTATTCCTGACACAGCTTCTGTATCGAACGGATCATCCTGGAGGGAGGAATTAGAACTTCATCATCGCCGTCATGGGAGCACTGAGACCCAAAAGGAGCGAGAGGAATTCGCCGTCGAGCTGGCAGAGAGGCGTAGAAAGGTGCAGGAGAAGCTGCGAAGTGTCGCTGAGAGCGACAGCCGATCCAGCAGTCCCACCCCGGGCCGGTCAACTCCAGACTTCGCCAGGGCTGGTAACGCATTTGCGATGTTGAAGCAAAAGTCTAGCAAACAGGCTGCCGCCAAGCCAGACCAGAAGAAGTTGTTCGGTTATGCTGGTGGCAATTCGTCCACGCCTGCTCTCTGTTCAGATGACTCGTGGCGTGAAGAGGAGAGGCCCTCTTTCAGCTTCGGCCGGCACTCCAACTCCAGCTCTCCCCATATCGGATCAGAGCGTTCGCTTAGGTCTCGTATGCCATCTCTCAGCCGCGACAACAGCTATGAAGGTTCGCGGGAGTCCAGCCGCAGCCGTGGCCACTCGCCTTTTCGAAACCAGAGAGATCGTGCAGGCTCGGATGCGTCGGGCCGGTCCAAGAGTCGGACCAGACTTCGCGAACGGGATGACCTTGAAACTGTGGATGAGGGCTCAATCATTGCACATGAAAAATTCGTTGCTCCCGAGGGCTATGAGCCTCCCGTGCCTGTCCCGCGCCCTACGTCGAGCCGCCCATCAGCAGAAATGTCTGACACTGTGAACTTCGACCGCGCTCCCTCTGCCGCTTCGGGCAGATACCGCAGTAGCAGCCGATCCGGTACGCCAAGCTTCCAATATGAACGGCCATTCCAGTTCTCGCAGTCCAACACGTCTTCGATCATCGGTGCCTCGCCCCGGGCCCCACCCGCTGCCCCGGCCTACTCTGCCAATGCTACCCCTCCGCTGAACGAAATGCCGGCAGACAACTCGTCTACATCCCAGGCTTCTTCGTCCAGCGGCCCGCAGATTCCCCAACGTGGTTTGGGACACGGCCCTCTCACGAAGCGCCCTGTGAACAAGAAGCAAATCTCCGAGCCGACCTTTATTTCATCCACATCAAACGTCCCTCTCGTCGGACTGCCACCCGGATCCGCGCTGCCTTCACCCAGCGGCGCACCTCCAGTGCCACCTATGAACCCGCGCCGTCGCCGCGGAACTGCCACTCAAACCATCTTGGGTGCGTTCAAGAGCGACAAGAACGACTCTTCACGGGTCTCTTCTCCCGCCCCGAGCGCCGGCGACGAACACAGTGTCTTCCCAGATGAAGAAAAACGTCCGCGGTCCCGCAATCGTCTCCGCAAGACTTCGAGCGAGGCTGGTAACCTGAACGCGCGGGCGCGCCAGGGATCCATGACCGGCACTCCGCCATCTGTGCCTCAATACCCGCCTCCCGCTATCCCTGTCGATGGAGGCATGTTCTGAACACAACTTCCCCTCCCATTCTTTATACATCCATCTTGGCTTGATCTATGCTCTCCTTATTCCCTTTTCTCATTTACCTACATCTACTCTACCTACCATTCCGTATACGCCCTTTCCTGGGCCTTTTCTTCTCTTCTCTGGACTCTCTTATCATTTCTGCTGTTGACGACTAGATACCACTCGGTGCATTTGAGCGTCTCATGTCTCCTTTCGATCTTTTCTTTTTCCTTTTTGTTAGAACCGCTTTTGAGCTGGATTTCCATCTTCCACGTATGTACTCTATTTTTTTCAATTTCAATGGATACACCGCTAGTTAGCTGTTATGGTCAGTGTAGACTTCAAATCAGGCATAGAGTCTTTCCTCGTTACAAGCTGGCTTCGGTTTGAACCAAGAGACTATATACTTCAAACTCTCAAGATAACCCCTTGAGCTCCTATTACAGCATCGACAATTGAATATTGCGGACTTTTTCATGCCCAACCAGGAGACTGGTGATAGTCGACGTCGAAGATCGACCATTGAGGATTTATACACCTTGTATATTACACACGGCTGAAAAGCATGCTAAATGGTATATAATTGCTTTCATTTAATCTACTATCATACATTTTCATTGCAATCCGTTCAAGGTTCCTCCACAGCCGTCTTGAGGTATCCCAAGACCCTCTCAACAAGGAACTCCCGCGGCTCAGCTTGGTCATCATTACTCAAAGCATGAGAAGCATTTGGGATAACGCCAGTGTGCTTTTGATCCCAAATTTGATATTTGCCATCATGGTCAGTAGCCTTCTGCCACCTAGCCAGCATCTTCTCCTTATCAACATAATCGGGAACCGATTGATCGTTCCCAGAGATCAATACCATCAGCTTATGATTCAACAGTCCCTGCTGCTGAATCATGCCAAAGGTAGTCGCAAAGTGCTCATCGCTCAGATCCGAGCTGAACAGATCATCCTCTTGAGGCGCCTGTGGACTCTCAGGACTAACAAGACTCAAGAATCTCCGACAGCTAATCGGGGTATTGGCAGGATAAATCATGGAAGTCAGCGAGAGAGGCAGCATGGTATCATGAGGCTTGCCCTCAGCAACAGCCTCCTTCGCCAGCGCCTCCATCTCGTCATATACAGCACGAGCCTTCTCCGGCGTCGTGTCTCCAATACCCCCCCTCAAGACACAGAAGATAGCCTCGCGATCAGAAACAGGCGCTTGCATGATTGCGCCGTCTAGCACGGGACGTGTGATGTGTTCGATATCGGCGTCGAAGGCGGGAACCTTTGTGTGCGGGTTTGACTGGCACAGGTAGTGCAGCACGCACTGGCTGCCCGTGGAATGGCCCATCAGGGCGATCTTGCCACCCCCGAATTTATCGGCCTTGTAGCTTTTGATGTAATCAAGACATTGGGCTATCTCGTTCGTGTCCCGGTCGAGATGGCCAAGGCCCCAGCATTGGTAGGAGGATGTGAGGTTTAGTGTGAAGAGTGACCATTCTGTTTGCTGTAGTGCGTGTGCGAGATCGGCCATGTATGATGTTGTTGCCAGGCCGTCGCCGAGTCCGCCGACGAAGAGGAGACTGTGTGGTTGGCAGACGGCACTGGTGGTATATTCGAATGTGACGAGACTTTCGGTCTACATGCGCCAGCAATTGTCAGTTGTAATTCGAGTGTTAGAATTGATAACGGTGTAGAAACGTACGTAGTGGTGCAGAATACCGGGAATGCCCCCCTTAGGCCAGAACTTAGACATGTTGGTAGTTGTGTGTATGATACGGTAGTATGTGGGAGTGAATTGAAGGGAAAACTTTCTAGGAGCTAGACACGGCCTCCGGGACAGGATCTTTTTCTTTAATCGAACAATTGCCGAGATTGGGCTTTGTGTCTTTCTGCTATGAAGGAAAGGAAGGTGGACAATTTATGTCGGTTAGCTTGAACCGAATAATTCGCGAGATCCACAAGGTGAATGTTTCAGGCCATCTTATCAATCTGATTATACCGAGAGAAGCCGAAATATTAGGTAACAAGTCTCACATCCTTGGAATGCTCAGCGCCAAGGTCTGAGGGAGGGAGGAGGGATGTTTTGAATCAGGTACATGTATTTCAGTATACCCGTTCAGCAAATACCGTATATTGTAAACGCCAGTATCTTACACGTCGGATACCTCGGTATGTATTTCATATCAACGGTAAATACAGCAATTGAAGTCTTGTCTCGGCTAGTACGGCTAGTAATTACACGAAGCATGGCCGGAAAATACCGTTGGGCCAATAAAACTCCACCGTCGAGACTAAAGCTGTGGGACACATGCAGCCTAGCCGTTATAGATAAGGTCAACGGATCTGATTATATTGATTGGCCGAAGACAGGAGAATCTGATTAGATTGCCCCGCTTTGAAAACTCTACCCAACGTGGCCAACACCGGCATTTCAAGACAAGACTTTTCTGACATGCTTAGGAAATTCTTGGTAAACTCAATAGTCAGCCTTACCAGGCTTCATATTCGAAGATCCTTGCTTGAAAATGTCCTCGTTATCTCTCGTTATATCTCATTCCACGTATTGGAATTAGAGATGAGGCATCGTGCAAAGTCCGGACCAAAATATCCTACGAAGCCTGTCTCAGACCACAAAGGCAATATAGACGAGTGATGGCTTTTTGTGGCGTTTGGCAGGGTCCATTCAAAGCTGTCTGCAAGCGAGCCAAGGAATCAAGGAACGTGCACGATAGATTTGAGGCCTTTTATTTAAAAGTTTCTTTTTATTGTTACAGGCTTGTTGCAGCAGGGCGTGAGCAAATATTATTGTTTATTATTATTGACGGGTGTACTCGGACTGTTCTATATTGGTACGTTGAAAAAGTGTACACGACAACGTATGCGCGTGCGAGTGATGTTATAGGTGGGTCTCGGAGTGCTGGATACCGAAAATCCCGCCTCGTTCCACTTCCCTTGTCCATCGTGCTTTTCCGCGTGAGGCGCATGGTCATAGATCCTCTGAGCAGTTAACCTCCATACCTCGGAGAACAATTCCTTTTCAGTTTGCAGTTGCCCTTGATGTGTTTCAGAGTAGGTCGATCTTATTCACGCTGCCTTCCTCTTAGCCGACAACATAGGTACTTTCCATTTCTGCCTCGATGATGAGCAACAGCCTAACTAAACCGGACCTTTTCGTCATTGAGACAATCTTGGCGTAGGTTTCTTTTTATTTCTCGTTTATTTCCCTTCCTTTTCTCTCATGTGGAGCCTGTGGATACGTTTTGTACCATACAGTATTGTATGTAGCTGTGAGGTCTGGAGATACATACACGTATGAATCCAAATCACCCACGAAAGACGAAACGGCCACATGGTTTGGTATCATTTTGCCTCCCAGAACGGGTGTGCGTCGAATAATCCACCCCGCAATAGCCGATCTCGGTGATGACATGCAAAATACATGCAGGGTACTCCGTATAGCCAGGATACTTCGGAGCTTTCAAGTCTTGAGGTGGAGCATGCTGCAGCAGCACCGTGGCTAGTTGGCTATATAGTGACACACTTCCGTCAAATCGACCCGCGCAAAGGCTGCGGATTTAATAGTCGAGCTCTAACTCCTTCCTCGCGTCAATTCGAGGGTAATAGGACCAGCTGTGCTGGTCAGTCGTCCAAAATGGGTCTCGTACCTCTCGAAGATGCCTGTACTCAAAATGCGCCAAATGGAATTGAGAAACTGCGAACAGACGCGAATGGCGACTTTAGCTCATTCCAAATTGCGCATCTTGCCTCCGACCAAGGCAACACTCCGACCGGCATGAAAGAAGAGATCGTGCTGTTGTCATGGCTCATGGTCCTGTTGCGCAGTCGGGAAGACAGCCAAATATCATATGACTGGTTCTACAATGATGTCGCGAATGGTTCTGAGCCCGAATCAGTAAACAGACTATTGGCGAATGAAGTAATGAAAGGATTACAAAGTGATGTGGGAGAAGTTGCGACTGCGATCTCTCGGAATATCACCAGGAAGGCACCAAGTCCCGCATCGCTCGTTTTGAGCACCAGCTCTCTTTCGCGAACATCTGAAGCAGCCAAACATGAAGTAAGTAAACCAACTAAAACCATAGCCGCACTGTCATAACTAACCGTACTTGAAAGGGCATGCTTCATGTCGAAGTTCGCTTCAATAATGCCCACCTCGAGATCCGCCCATTGTGGCACACCGAGAACATGTTTCCGTACACAGTGAATCACCACGTCGAGGTACTTGCCGATACTGTCAGAGTATGCCTCGACAATCCCAAAGCAACCATTGAACAGTGCCTTCGCCCAACTGCAAGTGATCTGAGCGATATATGGGGATGGAACCACCGATTGCCTCCTACCTATAGCTTTTGCATGCAAGAGATGGTCGCCGAAAGAGCCCGCGAATATCCAGAAAAAATCGCCATCGATTCCTGGGATGGCAGCCTAACCTATAGCCAAATTGATCAGTGGTCCACTTCCGTGGCATGCTCACTCAAAGAAATGGGCGTCGAGCTCCACGATGTCCTCCCCGTGTGCTTTGAGAAGTCCAGGTGGACGATCGTCGCTGTGCTCGGAGTGATGAAAGCAGGCGCGACCCTTGCGCTCATGGATCCAACTCTTCCGCTTGCCCGCCTTCAAAACATGGCGGTACAGGTCGGCGCAAAGTCGATGGTTGTGTCCCGCAAGCAGTATGAGCTGTCACTGATGATTCTGCCAACTGGAAACCACTTCGTTATTGAAGAAGATTCCTTCACAGATCCATCGACCTCCCCATCAACCTTCGACTTACCCGCTGTACCATCCTCCGCCCTTATGTACATCATCTTCACCTCTGGCAGCACGGGCACTCCGAAGGGAGTGAAGATTTCCCACGAAACCTATACGAGCAGTGCCATTCCTCGAGCAAAGGCAGTTGGATACACGCCAGAGTCTAGGGTTCTTGATTTTGCGTCCTACGCTTTCGACGTCAGCATAGACAGTATGCTTTTAACACTTGGAAACGGTGG